CTGCAGTTCGCCGTCACCGATAATCTTGCTCTCCCTTCACTTTAGTTTGTTTCAGTTGTTTCTTTTTAATCCTACAGTTTTATTACACCACCCTAAAATCTAAACGCAAGATTTTGGTCCTTTTTGATTAAATGTTTAGATTTTGTTTGTAACCTGTCAGAGAAACTCATGTTTGCTGCTAAGGGAAAAAAGTCTGCATGCCTGACATGTGGACTTCCTGTGATTTGTTCCACTTACCGTCATAAAACACTGAGTGAAATGAGAAAAGGGTCGCGCTCAGCAGGAAACCACAGAGTGCCGTCTACAAGTGTGTGAGGTCTCCGAACTCCTGTAGAACGCTGACGCTGCTTTACAGCCGGCTGTAGGCCCAGTCAGCGGGGAAACGCTGTTTCAGCTCAGATTATTATTATTATAAAGGGTGAAAATAGCTTAGCTGTGCATAATTATGCAAGATAATATGTTTCACATATATTTGAAACAAAAGAAATTGAGAATAATGATTTTTTGGGTGTAACTTTCCCCCTAGTGGCCAAAGTTGGTCAATACAGTTATAAAAAAACTCCAGAAACACATTTGATAAAAAGTGAAAAACAGCTTTTGATTATTTTATAAACAATTTAAAACTTGCTGCTGTACAGAATGAGACTATGAGATAGAGGACACTTATGGATTTTGAAACAAACTTCTCCTTTTTCCAGTTCCTGCCACTCCAGAGATCCAGGTGTCGGAGTGTCAGGTGTGTGACAACACGGTGACTGTGGTGTGGACCCTACCAGAGCCTGACATCAAGATAGACCACTACATCCTGGAACATCGGCGCACAAATCACGAGGGTCCACCGCGCATCAGAGAGGAGTACCCTTGGATGGTGGTGGAAGGGATCCGAGAGATGGAGTGCACACTCACAGGTAGCAGGATGTCTGAGATTGGATATTCGTGGTGATTTCTGACCAAAGTGACTTTTATTTTTGTTTGATAGGTCTGCGCTTTGACACACGGTACATGACGTTCAGAGTGAGAGCGTGCAACAAGGCCGTGGCCGGAGACTTCTCTGAGACGGTTACCCTAGAAACCCACGGTGAGAGAACACGCAGCAATGTTCTGGTGGTCGTACTCGTCAAGTCTTGTTTCTGGTGAAACTGAAAAAGCATTCAGTGTTATTTCTCTGTGTTTAGTGCATAAATAAGAAAAGGTATTTTCCCCCCCATTTCCAGCCTTCAACTTTAAACTGGACTCTGGTTCTGCCCACCAGAACCTGAAAGTGGAGGATCTGAGTGTGGAGTGGGACAGCAGTGGAGGAAAAGTGCAGGAAATCCGTAAAGAGAAGAACAGAACCAACTCTCCGATGCACTCCCCAGCCAGGTTTGTAGAGCTTCAGTCAGGAACGTCTCATTATTAGGAACACATTTCTGCACCAGGAGTCTTTGTGGGTTTTTTGACTTTCTTCGTGTGTTCCAGGTCAGCTCTGATGTCTCCTAAAAGAGCTCCGACAGCTCGGCCAGGCAGAGACAGGTTTACAGCAGAGTCCTACACAGTGCTAGGTATGAATACAAACACTTAAACAATAAGTCAAAAATACATCAAGAGCACTAACTATAGTAAATGCTGCAGGAATGCACCAGAAACTGCTGTACCTTGAGCGTGCACTGGAGGGCTCCATGGTCCCTCTGAGCTACATGTTCAGTTTTGCTGCAGGCGTCACCTGATGTCATCAGATTCATTCTCATACGTCACCTCTGTTCGCAAAAACAAAGTAAAAGACTGACAGCAACAAGTGACGGCGTTCAAATGCAAAGTTCTCAAATCTGTTACAGATATAGAAATATTGAGAATATAAAGGTAAAGTAAGGTTTCTTCTGTAAATCTAGTTTTATAAACATCACATCTATGATAAAGGGCCTTCATTTCAACTTATTAACTGTACAAAAATGGTACAGAGAACCAAGAATAAAGGAAGTGTTATAGTCGCTCTCAGTGGCTCATTAGGGTCACCACGGTAACCATGCATCTGAGAGACACTGGCACAGCATGCCATGAGCATACTCACTAGCTTACTTTCATGCTAGTATTTGTAATTTCTATATTTTTAGGCTTCAGTATGAACTTTTTTATTCTTATTTTTGATATTTTTTTCTTCCATTTTTAAAATAGCCATATTTTTAAAATAATTTTTAACTAAATGTTTGATTGTTTTTGTGTGATTTGTATCCAGAGAAGCCCTATATAAACATCCTCTCTTCTTCTGCAGCTGCTTATTGCTAAGAATTAAGCTACAAAACATGTCTAAAAGATTTTGGTTTTCTTGTGTTACACGAAAAGTTCCAAATACCTTTGGTGAACGGTCTGTATCTGTACAGCGCCTTCTTGGGCTTCTACAACCCCCCAAAGCGCATCACAACACAGTCATTCGCCCATTCACACACGTGAGCTATGATGTAGCCACAGCTGCCCAGGGGCGCACTGACAGAGGCGAGGCCTGATGAACACAGGCGCCACCCGTCTCTCCAACCACCATCGGCAGACAAGACGGGTTAAGTGTCTTGCCCAAGGACACAACGGCAGCATTCTGTGGAGGGAGCTGGGATCGAACCTTCAACTTTGCGATTACTGCACAGCCGGCTGAGCTGTTGCTGTCCTCTTTGTCTTAGTTTTGGAGCGACTATAACAAACGTACATATGATGAAACTCTGTGAGCTATTGGTAGTCAGCACTCTGGATGGGCCTGAGCGAAAACATCATAAATATCTCAACAATCATTATTAGTACATACATCAGTGTAAAAGTCATACAAAAATGCCTGTTTAGCTTTTCATGACCCATTTTACCTGAGAGTCACTCTGCTCAAACACTATTATTCAAGTCTGGATTACTTATCCAACCCACTTAAAACCCAGATTATCACCATGCGGAACTTTCCGCCCTCTCAGAGCATTTTCATTTAACAAAACCGAAACGACACAAACACCACAGGCCTTATTGATCATAGCTGGCCTCTCCCGACAGCCGACACCATGATCGACGCTGGCCAGCACTACTGGGAAGTGAAGTTTGATAAGGAGAGCAAGGCGTTCGCTGTAGGTGTCGCTCTGCGGAGTCTGGGTCGGTTCGACCAGCTGGGGAAGAGCAGCTCGTCGTGGTGCATCCATCTGAACAACTGGCTGCAGCAGAGTCTCACAGCCAAGCACAACAACAAGGCCCGAACCCTCGACTGCGCCATCCCCAGCAGTATAGGAGTCTATGTCAACTACGAAGAGGGTCAGATATGTTTGTTCATCAGGAGCAATTCTTATAAAAGGACCTCATCAGAGCAGGATTTCAAATATTTTCTCCATTCTTTCTTCTTTTAGGTACACTCTCCTTCTACAACGCCAAGCCCAAGCAGCTGATGCACACCTTCAAAACAAAGTTCCAGCAGCCGGTCATTCCAGCTTTCATGGTGAGAGAGGATCAGGGATCTTTAGGTTTGGGAGCTGGTCATGTATGCTCGTCTTCTACAGGTGTGGAACGGGAGTTTCTCCGTGGTGACCGGCCTGCAGGTTCCCAGCGTGGTGCAGAGCGGCCAGAGGAAGAACAGTGGCACCAGCAGCTCCAACGCCAGCCTCACCTAAACCCATTCGTCCATCCAGCTGGACTCAGTCACGCTTCATCATATCCTCTGCACAAACTGCGATTGAAGTCTTCTACAGGAAGAGTGACCTCACCGGAGCGTGATCGTTTTCTGTGTTGCATGACAGCAAAATTACAGATTCATGGGAGCAAGTGACTGGCTGCTGTGAGACTTGAGGCTTTAGGTTTAGTCATAGTTGTTTTTCCTCCCGCTGCACATTCCTTCAGCACCGTCCTCCTGCTGCTATAGCAATGATTTAGCGCTGGCCGCTGCTGCTTCACTTGAACCACCAGCTGAGCTGTCCTGCCTCCAGCTCCAGGTTCAGGCTCCTGTTCTGTTCTTGTGCCTTCCTTATCATGTTCATCTGTAACCACCGCATAAATGCTACTGTAATGCTTTCTCAGCAAGAAACGACCTCCTTATTTTAGTGTGAAACCATGTGTTCATTTAAGTTAGGTTATGTCTCAATCAACTAGTGTAAACCAAATAATATCCAGCTCCAAGACAATGAGACGGAGCAGAAAGCTCTGCAGCCTTTGTGGTCTTTATGCTGATGTCTGAGGTTCCCTCTGCTTCCTGGGGTTCCAAAGAGAAGGTTCAGTTAGATTTGAGTCCCAACAAGGGAAATGAGAAGTTTTTGGTTTCAAATTGAGTTCAGTCAGTTCAGTATTTTTACCCAGAGTTTAAAAGCCATCAGTAGAGCCCAGATTAATTCATCCTGAAAAACGATAGGAAGCTGTAGGAGATGAGTTATTAGCCAAAAACCTATGATGAGATTGCATCTTATTATGCCTGAATCCATTTAAATGCTGTAGCATTAATTCAGTATTTATCTTCACTTTTAGCTGTACCAGAACGGTCAAAATGTCAGACTGAATTAAAGCACATGGTGGAGTTGGACCCAGTTAACTCAGAAAGTTGAAACCTGATTTTAAGAATCTAGTGTTTGCTTTTAAACGCAGATTTCTGTTTTGACGGAGTGGTCCTCATCGAATCATGTTACTTATACTCCACACGTTTAACGTTCCATTTTATACTCATTGAAGTCCTTGTTTAAATATCTAAAATGGGATTTTAGGAGAGTTGAGTTGTGTTAGCCAACAGAAAAAAGGCACAAAGATGCAGAGTTGGTGAGAATTTGTTCAGAAATGTAAAACAAACACACCCAGTCGGTCAGAAATCCCCTCCAAAAATACCCGTCAGTGAGCAGGTTTAGTTTGGAGTCGGTTACCATGGTGATGAAGTCAGAGTCACTTGTCTCTCTGGAGCAGTAAAGAGTTTCCCTAAATTCAGTTATTTTACAGGATGTTTATGAAACCAGCTTTGTGCAACGCCTCGGATGTGTTAGGTTTATTTTTGGCTGAACTTACATGTAGAAGGGAACCCCTCACTTTGGTTCAGTGTTGTGGAAACGAAGGAGCTTACATTTATATCCAGCAGAGATCCCACTACGAGTAGCTGCCAGTCTATATCTGAGAAGCCCAGTAGCTCCAGCTAACACCGTATGTTACTGCATCACATCTCAGCCGGGAAGATGTGATCAGGCCAGGAAAACATATCCTCAAGTGTTCACCTCTGGTTCTCGTCCCCGTCATGTTTTCTGTAACATTGTTCTGCCACGTTTCCACAGTAGCCCGCCATGCTTTAGTCAAGCACCCAGCTGTCAGTTATTCACTTTATTTCACAAGCTGACAAAAAGTCACAATTTATTGTAAATAGTTTAAGTTTTTCCACTTTAATGTATCAGTAAATGAGGTAATAAAAGGAGTGAAGATACTTCATTCTAAGAGTCTTATTTCTAAAGTAAAAAAAATTATAAATAAAGTGTAAAATTAAAGTATACAGTAAAGAATATTTACTACTTATATGTCTGCATAGCACATACTAGAAGATGCTTTGTCGAATCTCTTAAAGTGACAAAATCCAGAGCTTCATGGTTCCTAAATACTTAAATGGTCCATTCACGAGGTCAAAACGAGCTCAACAGAGTTTACATTCCGTCCTTAAACACAGACGCAGTACTATGGTACTATTTACATTTCACATACTTGTAAGGCAGGTTCAAACTAAAATTACACTTGGAAGCTGGTTAAAGGAAACCACTGGTACTAAAAGCTAGAATCTAATGAGAATTTGATGATAGCTGATGTGCAAAACAAACAAGAGGATCCGGGAGGTAATGGGACATCAACACTCGTTTTTACAACAACGTTCATCTGCTAATGTTCAAGACGGGCGAATCGATAAAACATCAATCTTCAGAGAGGTTTAGCTTCAGGCAGCTAATCAAAGAGGAACCCGGTGATCTGGGCTCGGATGGTAACTCCATCTGCTGCCGGCCGGCCCCTCTGAGTGCTTCAGGTCAGATCGATCTTTAACTTCTGTCCAAGCTTCAGTTTCAGCTCCGATATTGCTGGCAGAGGAACTGTAACCAACCAAGGGAGGAGAGTTAATAGTGACATCGTAAAAGAAAGAAAGAGCATGTGGACTTACATTTCATCTGTGCCTCCACGTTGGATGGCCGCCTTGGATTTCCAGGGTTGTTGGTGGGGGTCTGCGATGGGAGACTTCTTCGTGGAGCAGGACATGGTGCTTTCTTATGGCCCGTCACTGCCGTGTGTGTAACAAAACAAGTTAAATAAAAAGCATTTGAGCTAGAAATCTGATTAATTTGTTTGGATGGAAAAAATAATAATTTTAAAAATTAATCTGATGAAAGAACTTGCGTGAGAGTGAAGCAGCTGAAGAATCTCTGATCGCATGCTCTCGCCCCACCTCTGAACAAACAAAGCGAGTCAGAAAGAATCATGGAAGGAATGCAGATCTACTCGTTTGAGAGCAGAGTTGTTGACAGGAACCAGAGAAGAACGGTCTCATGGGACGAGGTTTACTCACTCTTATCGGCAAATGATGGATGCTCCTCTCTGACGGGGTCTGGTTCTGCTTCTAGAGCCCTTGTTTTCTCATCTTAAGACAACAAAAACATGCAAATAGGATTATTACAGTGTTGATACAAGGTGTGATGACATAATCGGTCCATTTAACTAGAGCTTTTATATAAAAGACATGAAAATATTTTGGGTCTTTTGTTCCTGAGGTACAGTAAAAGATAATGTTTGTTAATTTCCCCTTTAGCTGCTGTAAAATGGCTGCTATCCTTTGCGGGGTCTCCGACCCATCATTTCCATAACAAAAATGTGACATTCCCCAGAGGATAAATTAAATTTAATATGATAAAAAAAAATGTAGAAAAGTATATTGCAGAACTTCATAGAGATCTTCTTAATCATTAAAACATGGAATTAATTTCAAATGCATTTTATAAACTTATATTTCTTTGTTTTGTGATGGTTTTTAATTAATTTTACTTTCTGGTTTTTGTCTTTTAATCACGTTTTAATTTTGATGGGATTTTTTTGTGATAGGTACTAAATAAATTGACTTTACTATATATTTTAAGGTAGATTATCCACCATCTCTGGAGCCAGCATCAAATTTTTACAAGATCTAGTGCAGAGATAAAATCTTTATAAGACACTTGACATTTCCATCACAGATCTGTTCTAAAGCTGATAAGATCTTTGTGACAGACATGGAAACACGCCGACTTTGGCTCAAACCCTGCAGAAAGGCAACTGATAAAACACATTTGCAGAAGTTTGTCGTTGCAGAACGTTTCAGCAGAGCTAGAAATGTTTCTGTACGCATGCACATTACTAAAAATGACTTGCATTTGGAACATTTATAGCCTTTTAAAACTTGCTGGGCGTGTTTTTACCGCTGGAGGTTGTTAGATAACGTTAACTGTAAGTCATCCCCTCATGTTTACCGTTCCCAGCAACAAAAACAGAATTCAGAAGGGTGTAAGAGCATCCGTGTGAGATTGTGTGGCAGGACACTACCTTGTCTGCGAGTCAAAGGTGTTAGGGCAAAGGTTTGTAAGCTCTGCTGGGTTCTTTCTCCGTTTTCATTATCAGATGAAATAAAGGCTGTGAAGAGGCGAGCGCATACTGGTAAATACAAAAAAACATTTAGACAGAAACACAATGCTAAAAAGAATCTGTTCGTACAAATATTTTTGTCGTATTGCCCCTCGACTATGAGGGGAGTCAGATGTCCTTCTGTTCTTTCCACCAAGATGTTGACCAACTCCTGCAGCGTGTCTGCATAAACCTGCAGAAACAATTCTTTAGAAACAGAAATAAAATCCTGCAACAAAGACAACTACTACTGTTTGACACTTTAATTGACGGGCACAAACTACGGTGTCGGAAAACCTTTTGAAAACAACATCTAAAGTAGAAATTTACACCTTTCCACTCGTCACAGGTGACCCATTTAATGTCACAAGACATTTTTACGGTAAGCAGAGTCCGCCTTTCCAGGAGATCGTGTGGGCTCCTTCCTATCCGGCATAAAGCCATAAAAACCTCCTGCTATAGAGATTGTTACACCTACGGTAGACAAAGTTCAACTAAGCAGCGTATAAAAGACAGTGTCTAATTACTTTCTGCCCTTGCATTACGAAAGAATACCAGAGCCGTTTTAGAAATCAGTGACAAGCTTTTCTTAAATTTGCAGAAGAAAAAAAATTCCTTGGCTGCAAAAACAGATGAAACCAATAAATACTCACAGGCGTGTCCACGTCAATGTAGAATCCTGCAGGGCTGCTGTACACACGGTAGTGCTTGAACACAGATCTGATTGAAACATTTACACGATTATGCAACTTTTTTGGGCAGGTTTTATATGAAAATAATGATTGAATGTGATTTTTCATGCTAAAGACTGATTTTTTTATTTTTATATTTGCATGTTCATACCCTCCTAAATCCAGCCTGGTGGTGATGGCGAAGGATTTCTCAATTCTGCCGGGCCTGAGCAGCAAATTTCCTCGGTTGGCTTCTCTCTCCAGCAGAAGCTCCGCCTCCAGCCGGGGCACCTCATAAAAGCAACTGATCAAAACAGAAGAAAAACGGTTTTAGTGTATATTTTCCCTCAAAAATAGGTTTAAAATAAATCTGTGCCGAGTGAGATCGGTCCCTACGCAGGCATGTCAGACTGGGAGGAGGTGGGAGATGGGGCGTGGTCAGTCACATCAGTGGAGGTGAGGCTGGCCAGCCTTTCCACCTCCTTCTGGATTGTGCATTCCAGCATGTGGATCTGACCTGGCAGCAGGATGAGGGAGGATGGGACTGACAGCTGCAGGAAGATGGTTTGTGTTTAACAGTTTATGCAAAGGGAGATTATAATTGATGCTCTATGACCTTAAAGCAGTGAGATGAGTAAGGGGACACAAACCTCAGCCACAGAGTGGATGAACCCCTTCCAAAGCTCTCGAGCTTCTGAATTAGAGGCCTGCAGGAACACCAGGCGAAAGTTATGAGATTTAAAAAAAGAAAATTTACAGAAGATTGAATAAAAATCGGAGTTTTCCTACACACTGACTCACAGTGAATCTGTAGCTTCCACTTTTCATGTGAACCACGAATCTGGTTGAATGTGTGTTACTAACGGGGGTTCCATCATCTGCCACGGAGATCAGTTCAGTGAGAACCAGTTTATCTACGTACTGAAGAAACAAACACACACACCACACACACACACACACAAAAAAAACCTAGTGACAAACGGGCCAAATGTGTAAACTTAATGGTCAGTACTTCTGAAAACAGCTCACGTCAATGTCTCTTTTCTCATTGAAGAAAAACAGGGAGTTTCCACATAGGCAGGCCCAGAATTTCTGAGGGGTCTGCACAAACAGAGACAGATGATGATGAAGATGATGAGAAACAAGGAAACAACTGAACAAGAAAAACAAACGTGTTATACAACAAGGAGATAAGTAGTTCCAGTCAACATTCGTAAATTTGATCCGATGAGTCAAGAGCCTGAAACCATGGAAGGCGATACTAATCAGCTTTAGCTGGATCTAATCCAAGGAAGCAGGTAAAAATGGGATGTTTTAAAGAGCAAGTTGCCCCCTACCAGAGTCTTACTTCACTCACGTTTGAAAATCGCTGTTGCCTGACAGACCGAGAGGGTGGGAGCCTCTAACAAATGCACACACGCAAGCTCACAATAACATCATAATGTACCTGCTAACATCATAGCATACCTCTTAGCCAATAGCAGTGGCAGATTTTTAATCAAATGAAGTGCAAAGTTGTTACCTGCACAACACTGACATTAGGTAGAGTATTGAAATTAACTAAGATGCCCTAAAGTGCCAAATTATTGACTATACGTGTCTACAGCATGATTAGACACTCATTTATATCGTTTATTAGTGATGCGTCGGTCGCGAACGGCTCTAAGAGCCGGCTCTATGAAGTGAAGGACAGGAGCCGGCTCGCCCCCCCCCCCCCCCCCCCCCCCCCCCCCACATGCAGGCGGAGGGAGACGAGAGGGAATGAGGAGAAGGGAAAAAGGCGAGAAAGAGAGAGGAGAGTGCGACGAAGACGGAGAGAAAATGAGCGACAGCAATCAGAAAGTTGAGATTTCTCAAAATGTTCAGTTAATAAATCCATATAAAATGATAAATATTTGGTATATAGCATTTTTGTACATTAGTAAATCATTTTACACATAATTTTGCATTATTTTTGGTGATAAACATAATTTACGCAACAGAAAATCTGAGGAGCCACTTGGGAGCCGAGCCAAAAGAACCGGCTCTCTAAAAAGAGCCGGAATTCCCATCACTATTGTTTATCAGCGAAAAAAGTTAATTTAGGGGTGACTAAAGCCGGGCGTACACTGTGCGACTTTTTCACTTTTTTGAGCCGATTTTCCAGTCGTGCGAGAATCCACGACATCGGGGCGAGTTTTGCGCCGAGCGGTCGTGTAGTGTACAGGGGGTTACGAGAGGCGATTAACACCACGTGACCAGCCGCCGATCAGCAGTCGTGAGGTCGCAGGGACTTCTGGTGTGTTTAATATTTCGCTCGTCCCTCGTGAGGGTATCGCACTGTTGAAGCGGCGCTGCGAGCAGCTGCGAGCAGCTACGATCCAAAAAGTATCAGAACCGCTCACGGCGCATGCGCGCGCAATCCTGCATCAACGCCGGCCGGTCGCTCGCTATTTCCCTAATAACACACGCTGTTCGTTTTTGTTTCTACACGTTTTTTTACTCACAAAGATTGTCAAGAAAGCGTGTTTGTCGTGTTCATGTCAAATTAAACTGATCATAAAACACAGATTCACTTTCTTTATTTCGTTTTCCTCATCCAACCCCCATAAATCCCTGTGTGTCCTCCTGCAGCACTCCCGAAGGACAACAGGCAAGACAAAAAAGTCTGACGTGTTGTGTAAAAACTGCTATTTTTAGCACATTTTGGGGCCGACGTGTTGCTACCAGACGTACAGTGTGAGCAGTCAGGTCGCATGCGAGAATTGGGTCGTACAGTGTGAGCACACGACTCGTGAGATCTGCTCTGCGAGGAAGTCGTACAGTTTGAGCTGAAGCTGAACGCTGCGAGTGAAAAAGTCGCACAGTGTACGCCCGGCTTAACTGGGAGGAGACCTAAAGGAAGACCAGGACAAGTTATGCCGTCTGGTTAAAGACATCAGCTAGTTGGATAAAAGGACACTGACTCAGACCTACAGATAAAAACTTTACTGGATCAATGGATTACCCTCAGCATTTATGATTGTTAAAGCCTGCAATTCATGTTTGAGTGTCAACCCTGATGGCTTTTTGTTCTTTAGTCCTGAAGATTAAGCCAAGAACACACACCAGACAAGCTAAAATGAACACATGTTGATCACATGTTCTCAAGCACGTCAGAGTTAATGTTGAGTTTGAAACCACTCAGAATGTTATATTTGTTCCATGCAGCCAGATCTTCCTGAACAATTCTCCAGAGAATTCAAAGGAAAACCGTTCAAAGTCTTTCAGGAAGAACTTTTGATTTAGACCACTTCAAAAGTTGTTTCTAACAAAAGGATTTGAGACCTAAAAACTATAAATATTAAAAAAGAAAGCAATTCATGTGAAAGAAAAGATGTTTAATTTGGCTTTATTAATAAAATTAAATTTCTACTGTCCTATAATCATTTCATTAGGCCCGTTTTAAATAACATAACTAGCTAATTATTGCAAACATTTCAGAAAACGTGCTAGCTCAGAAAGTGTAGATTAAACATTTATCAGTAGCTGATGTTGATGTTAAATCAGATAAATATCTGATGAAAACCTAAATACGTTTATTATTTCAATGCTACAATTAAAACACTTTTATTAGAGTCAACGTTTCCTCTTATATCCGACCTACCAGGTCTTTCCCCCACGTCTTCTCCAGGTAACCCTCATAGTAGCAGTCTGGCAGCTGGGCCCGCTTCCGTCCTATTCGCTTTGCCATGAGTCAAAACACAGAATCAAACGATTCGTTTCTGCCTCTCCTTCTTGTTTTTCCTACGCAGTTTTCTTCTGAGGAGATCTAACCTTCCCTGATATCCTCCAGCTGCGGCGCACGCGCTGCTGCTGATTGGTCAGCGTCAAGGGAAAACGGGGCGAGGCTTAAAAAAATCTTCACAGGTGAGACAAGCCTAGAGAAACGGGCTTTGTCAAGTTTGGAAAAGACTGGAAAAACAAGCTTTATATATGTCACAAATCAGCTGCGTGGGAGCATGCGCAGTTAGTGCATCAGGTAGCTGGTTTGTCTGATCAAAGGTCATAAAAGAGCAGCAGGAATTACCTGGTGACAACTGTGAAACCTGCCTGAGAGGACAGCTCACTGGACTACACTTTAGCAAACTCTGACGCAGGAGAAGACTGTTCTTCCTGTTTACCAAGTCCTGTCACGTGTTAATTGAAATGAAGAGGTTTTATTATTCTCAATATAACTCTTATTACTATTTCTTTTATGTGCATTTGCTAAAAAGAACACAGTTTGATGCAGAAATGAAGTATTTTGACCCTAAGGCAATTTACTAAGTTATAGCTGACAGCTTGACATACAGCTCTGTTCTGTCACTGATGTCCTTCAGCTACAAGCTCTTACACATTCTTTTGTCTGTTTTTTGTTTCTTGAACACCCTGCACAGCATGTACATGTACTGGACAGAAAACGAGTGGGAAAAAATAAACATCGAAAGTCCTTCAAAGCATTCTTGAAAGCATTATAAATAAACAAATTAATTAATTAATTAATTAATGGATGGGTTTAAAACTTCAATATTTGAACATATAGCCAAAACTATTATTTTTTAAATTTCGAAGTTAACATTTTAAGCTTCATATAAAATAGTGTGCCTTTTCAAAATAATTGAAAGATTTTTAAACAATAATTTAACTGATTTATGTTCTAAAAGATTACAAAATATGGTGGAAAATTTGAATGAAAGCACAACTAATGAGAAACTAATAGCTGTTCATGTAGAGTAACACAAAATATTAAAATTATTAGTTTTTTTAATTCTGACAAACAAGCTGAACCTGCTAACCCCGAAGAAATCCTGCTGTGTGTGAACGTCAAGCCTTGCTTCACAAATTCAAATTCCAGAGTTGACGAGTAATGGCAATTATCTGAACATAATAACCAAGGAAGTCAAGTCAAGGAAGTCAAGTCAAGGAATATAACAGTCAATGAAGCAAGCAGATTATATTTAGAGTACAGTTCCCTTAAGAGTAGTGCAAGTTTTGGACACACCTATGTGTATTTATTTTAGTGAGGTGTGTCAAACCTTCCTGTTTACTCAAACATTATTTCTGCAGCATGTTTACAGGTCATGAGGCATTTTAATAAGCGTGGTGCACTGTTATGTTTGTTGAAATAAAGCCAATAAGGATGAAAACAAACTTCTTTTGTATATTCATTCTGGGTTTTTCTTCTGAATGCATTTTTAAGTTCTTTTTTTAAACACAGGAAATATTTTTTTTACCTTGCTGACAGTTTCGATCACTCTTGCGATCTTCCTCAGAGCTAGCTGCTAATGGCGGCATCACTTCCTTCTCCGTTTATTACTACTAATACTAATCTCACACGATGTTACATCCTTGTTCACAAAAACACCAACCCCCCCAAAAAAACATCGACATATAGTATACAGAATCAGACAGGACAAAACTCTACACAAAAGAACAAACCTTAAAACAGATGACATAGCACAACTGATAAAACTTGTAGCAAACATATTTCACATATGATGGAACAATATACAAACAACTGGAAGGCTTCGCTATGGGTAACCTGTTATCAGCCGCGCTTTGTGAGTTTTTAATGGAGGCAAGACAAGAAGCAGAACGCACAATAAAGAAATCAGCCGTAACAAACCACACAGCACAAGGTTAAACCATATAATGGACTGGGACAACACAAGGATCATCACCACCAAACAACAGAAATAAAACAGATGGATTAAGGAACCCATAGAACTACAGAGACGTGGGCATGGAACCAAGAACAGAGATGAGGGGGTCTACACATTAGGTCATGCATGGAACTGTGTCATCGGTGAGGAGAGCGCGGGCAGCAGAGGAGGACGGTGTCGCCCGGAGAAGGGAGTGACGCCGCCATTAACGGCTAGCTCTGATGAAGATCGCAGGAGTGATTGAAACCGTCAGCAAGGTAAAAACGTTTCCTGTGTTTAAAAAAAAAAAACTTAAAATGGATTAAATGAAAGTTTTTTTCATTTTGGAAGAAAGGTTTTACTTAAACCTATTTCATGTCCAGCTGGCTGCATGGATTGCCAGTTTTTCTCCTTTCAAAACAAAGGAAGAAGAAGAAGAAGAAGAAGAAGAAGAAGAAGAAAGTATAATTTCTATAGCGCCTCTCAAGAAAAAAATCATGTGGCGCTTCACAAAAGCAAAAAATGTAAAAAATATAGAAAGGAAGGACTGCTGCTTACCTTTAGTGAGTGTGGGGTTGTCGTGTCTCTCGCAAGCAAATTCTGCAGCACCAACAATTGTAACTTGACAACGGCCAGCAAAAAGCTCCAGAGTTGTTTAAAACAGTTGCAGTAACCAAATCTTTCCACAGGATGTCATTTTTACTTCATTTCTACATAAAGCACCTTTAATGGTGTTGTATTTTATGAGCTCGATTAGCCGTTGGAGCAACTAATTACTTTTTATTACATTTCAATGTTAAGTTTATCAGTAATATAATAAAAAATTAAAGTGTAATTCAGAGTACAATTTCTCCGAATATGTGTAAATTAACTCCAAACAGCCTTGAAAACTTACTAAGAAGTTGCGTAGTGGCAAGCCACGTGACCACACGCTTCCGCTCTTCTTACGCAATTGGCGTAGCGTCCTCTGTCATCTTGGCTCACCACCACCCTGGGCTGTATAGGGGGGAACTATTGTTTTTTGCCATCATTGCTCTCTTAGACCTAGTCCAAATAAACAATGGGAAACAGAGACGACGAATATGACTTTTTGTTTAAAGGTAAGCATAACAAACACTTTAATTTGTTGGCTAAACTTAAATTAGCATGTTAGCTTGTTAACGGCAGTCAGTGGTCAGCATCAGCTGCAGCTAACGGTGGCTTTAGCTAAGCTAGCCAGCTAGCTGGTTTGATTTATTAGTTTACTCACTTTTTGCAGCTAAATAACCTCCAGTCGTGGTTGTTTTAGGCGTGAGGGCGTTTGCGTTTTTGTTTACGCATATTCCTTATTTTAGAGCACACTAGCTGTCTGGTCAACGAGTCTTGAAGCGACAATAAAATAATAATAAATTTATTATCCTTTTGGTTATTGAGTATTTACTTAAAAAAAGAATGCATGTTAATCTATTAGCAGCGTCAGCAGTAATGCATTTACCCGAAATCCTAATTTAATCTTCATAAACAGGACTTCCCTTTTAGGGATAACTAGCTGAGGGAGGAGAAAACTCACTCCCTGCGAAGGGAAGCAGGAAGATACTGTAGCTTTTTTGCGGGGTTTATTACTGCAGATCAAAGGTACTTTCCAATCTATTGCTCTTTTTGATGGTTTAATATGTTTCAGGTCTGACCTGACTACATTCTTAAATCAGATGTCACTCTACCTAATGGAATTTTTTTTTGTCATATCAAATCATAAGCGTTAGTCATTATCAAGAAAAGTTTTACTGTCAGCTCTTAAAAGATTAAATCTTTCTTGTCCCATCATACTTGACTCAACAGATAGACCCGTTACGATGGAAGAACTTTGATTTCCAAGTATTAAGTGGTTTGGATCAGATGTTTTACAGATTTAGAGGTTTGCAATGCAGAGATTTGAATACTAGAGGGATTTTCACTCTGTCAGGTAAAGATTCCCGTGTGGCTGTTGGACACTGATCCAAGGGTTCTGATGGCTCATCAACATGACACAGAAGCCTTGAGAAACTGTTGAGTCAGACTTCCTGGAAAAAAAAAGGGCCATTTGGCAGCTTCCTCCTGCCCGTCTCCCACCAGGACAGAGTCTGATTAGAGCTCATCTACTCGGCTTGTAAAAAATGAAAGGCAGAATTTTCACTTTGACTCTGGGTGGCTGTGGAATTTTTTGTTTAGTGACTGAAAGTCAAGTTAATAATTCATTATCTTATCAGAGATGAATTTCTGAAAAACCTTAAAACCAAGGAGACTTGTTAGGGTACAAGTTGGAAAATGTTTTTGTTTTGTTTCTAGTTGTACTTATTGGAGACTCGGGAGTGGGGAAGAGTAACCTGCTGTCTCGTTTCACAAGAAATGAGTTTAACCTGGAGAGCAAGAGCACCATAGGGGTGGAGTTCGCCACCCGCAGCATCCAGGTGGACGGAAAGATGATAAAAGCTCAGATCTGGGACACAGCTGGACAAGAGCGCTACAGAGCAATCACCTCAGCGTGAGTGTTTGCTCATGTTCATGCTCAAATAGTGCCAGAAAAATCTGGATATGTTCACAAATTCTATCCACTGACTAGGTATTATCGGGGTGCAGTCGGGGCCCTCCTAGTTTATGACATCGCCAAGCACCTGACGTATGAGAACGTGGAGCGCTGGCTGAAGGAGCTGAGGGACCACGCTGACAACAACATCGTCATCATGCTGGTGGGAAACAAGAGCGACCTCCGCCACCTCAGGGCCGTTCCCACCGACGAGGCTCGAGCCTTCGCAGGTAACTTGCACTAAAGCTTGTGGTCAGGAAAGCATTATAAAATCAAACAAAACATGTAAAATGTACCAAACTTTTCCTCCCACAACAGAAAAGAACACCCTGTCATTTATTGAAACATCAGCGCTGGACTCTACGAACGTAGAAGAGGCCTTCAAGAACATTTTAACAGGTAGGAAAAAGAAAATGTGGTGCAGTGTGCTGTTTCATGTTTGGAAAAGATTCATTTAAAACAACCTAAAGGGGTTGCTGACTTTATTGCTGTATTTTGTCAAATGGGTTTGGCCCCATAAAGGTCCACTTCAACACCTGGACCTATTTGTAGAGTTTTGTTTAGCATCATCTTACTGAAAAACACCCTTTTCCTAGAATAGATGCAGTGTTTTTATCCCAAAACTTGTTGAGGTTGTTTACTCCTTGGCATCGTGGAGGTGCAGTTGGTAGCACTGTTACTTTCCAGCCTAGAGGTTGCAGGTTCAAAGCTGCAGCTTTTCTGCGTGGAATTGGCATGTTTTCCCTGTGCATGCAAAAACATGAATGTCAGGTTAAATTGTCAGTAACTTGGAACAAATGCATCTACAATAACAACACATACATATGTATTAGGGCTGCACAATATATCGAAAAATTATCGTCATCGCGATAACAGGACGTGCGATAGGCCCATCGCAAAACACGGCAAAAACAGCGATAAATGTTTGGTTCAAACATTTCCATCCGTGTCATACATCAACTTTTTGTAAACCAACTCTGTTTTTTACGCGGAAGTATTATTTGACCAATCAAATGTAGTCCTTCTGATATGCGGCCAATCAGATGGGTCCGTTCACGTAATACGCCCGCCCCCTACGTAGACCCTTTTGGAAAGCAACACCCGAACAGAGTTTGCGGCGCCGTTCCCTTGTTCGTCATGCTGGCTCAGAGCAGCGAACGCACTTTGTGCTGAGGTTTCTGGAATCAGCGCTGCTTTCAAACGTGAACGTGAGTCCACTCGGTGTCGTTAATCATTTTTACCGGGCTGACTCCGACACGTGCCGGTGAACCAACCCACCTTCATGTCGCTAGTGTTAGCCCCAGGCTCCAGTTAGCTTCCAGCTAAAAGGCTACAGCACTCTCCTCCCAGTCCCACCCTGCTAAAGAGGGCCTGGAAAAGTTCCCCCACACATCAAAGTGATTTTTCATTTATGAGCTTTTATAACCTTGTTAATCAGGATAGTTGATTTGCTGCTGCACAGAAACAGTCAGTCAGAAGCTCTGCTAGCCGGTTAGCTTAGAGGAGCTAGTTCAATTTGTTAGCTTGTTATTAGAATCATAGTTGCAGTTTCATCACCTGAGCTGCTTTTTAAGATCTAGGTAAACTTGTTCAATTTGGGGTTAAAAACAAACGTTTTCACATATTTTCCATGTAGTTTTTTGCCAGTTCCTCTTCTGAAAGGTAGACAATTGTTTTTCTCTTTCCCTCAGAAAATCTTAATATTCTCCTAGTTTGGCCCAGCACAGTTCACTTCCCAGTTACAGCAACAGCCTTATATCATAACCACATAAGTGGAGAAAATGTTCAGTAGCAATGAGAGAATGTGCTGTTGCATTTAAGTGATGTTAACTATTATTTAACATTTAAACTTATTTTCTGATTGTTTTTATTTATTCAAAAACCCTGGTAAGGGATGTTTTTCTGTATTTGGAGCATCAGAAAAAGTTTTATAGTGGTGGTGATGTTTTAAAGTCACTGAGAAACTGCATGCATGCAGTTTGTTGTTTTGCTGCTAATACAGTAGCAGGTGCAGCTGCTAATACAGTAGCAGGTGCAGCTGCTAATACAGTAGCAGGTGCAGCTGCTAATACAGTAGCAGGTGCAGCTGCTAATACAGTAGCAGGTGCAGCTGCATGTTTTTGCAATAAAAATGTTATGTTGTAATGGAATTCATGCATTAGTTTTTGTTTGCTTTGAACCCAGAGCAGACGTCACACGCCAGACGACATCAACACTGCACACTTTAGTATTTGTTCATTTATCGTGAGTAATATCGATATCGCAATATTAAACACTGTTATCGAATATCGCAGGTTTTCCTAATATCGTGCAGCCCTACTATGTATTATAAAAGTGCTCTCACAGATGCAAGTCCTCCAGTCTCGTCTGCCTCTGAAATGCAGTTTGATAACAAAGTCTCTCTTGTTTACCCAGAATCTCTAAAAATAAGTTTACATTTAAATTTCACAAGATGAGTTTTCATTTCATACTACGTTTTAGATTATTCAACGGGGTGCTTTGCTGAAAGCAACTTGCACAAACCTTTTGAGAAGTCAGTTGAATTTAAATGCTGCTGTTATTTAGAATTATATTTTTATTTGTGGGCAAACATTTCTTCCAACTACAAGAATCACTCAAACTGTATAATAGATGGTGAAAGGCCATGTCTGTTTGTAGTTTTGGTGTTAGAAAACAAATCTGCTGCCCCCCGGTTCTACCCAGAAGAACCATTATTGTGAAGCTAGTCAAACTCTCTCAGCTGCACTTCTTTAATTATTTAATGATAAATGACCCGCACTTGTATAGCACCTTTCAGAGTAAGGACTCCAAAGTGCTTTACACTACAGTGTATCATTCATCCATTCACACACACATTCACACACTGGTGGTGATGAGCTACGGTGTAGCCACAGCTGCCCTGGGGCGCACTGACCGAGGCGAGGCTCATTAAAGTAACTGACTTTTTCTTTCTTGCATTTTTCTTCTTTAAATCATATATTAAATATTATTTTACTTTTATCTCTAATTTAATATTTTAATAATCTGTTTTATTTTATTGTCTCCAGAAATTTACCGCATTGTGTCACAGAAGCAGATAGCCGACAGATCCGGACATGATGAGTCTCCGGGTAACAACGTAGTGGACATCAGCGTCCCGCCGACCACCGACAGCCACAAGGACAGCAAACTTCAGTGCTGTCAGAGTCTGTGACGCTCGTCCTCTTGTCCACATTCACTCCCACGTCACACCACCTGTGCACTTTTTTCCTTCCACGTAACTCCACCTACGACCAACTCAACCGTTACTTTATCCTCTTTTTATTTTATTTGTCCTTGATTCTCACTCTTGATTCCTAGAAGTACTTTTTAAGTTACTCACGTGTGCTCCTCCCTCCCGCCCTTAGAGACACCTCTCAGAAGCCTTCATGTCTGTGGATCAGTTGAGTTGCAGGTGGAGTTAGTGCGAAGGTCCCTGCGATGCAGGAGCAAGGCAGCTGCGGCTGTCCTGATGAAGCTTGTGAAGTTGTGCTGCTGTCGTGTAAAAAGCAGGTTAGAAATGCATTTCAATAGTTGCCACTAGATGGTGCTGTGTAGACTGAAATTGGCGGAGCATCGTTTTCAGTTCTTGCATTCATCATGCCAAATAAAATCACCTCACAAAGTATTTGTTGAAGAATATTTGGCTTCATTTGTAGTCTTACTTTCAGGTTAAGAAAAGTGTAAATTTACAATAAAATGATTGCAGTTTATTGACTTGTTTGTTTGGTTCTTATTCCGCCATGCCTCAAGATAAAAATCACCACACTTAAGTAAATAATCACATGATAAATAAATAATTAAAGCACAGCCAAAGTGTTAGTTTTACAAAAAAAAAGAACACTTGATTCCCTTTAGTGCAAAATCCGGGGAAAATCCCAGTCAGGAATAAAAGCAGTGAAGAGTCATCTTAGATCTACATGCAATTTTAAAAGAAGCCAGAAAACATGTTGAATGGAGTTAAAGTGGATTGGTGAAAGAAAAATCACATTTCTGGTTTTCAGATCATTAATTGCAGATATTAATTTTATAGTTTTTAATAAAAGGTAATATGGATTATCTCATAGTTTGAAAGGATCAGATTTTGATGTTTAATTGCTTAGAAATTAATTTACTAAAATTTGACTGTTTAAATTATTGACTTGAATAAACTATTCACTGAGGTGTGAATGTCGTTTTAAAAAGTAATTTTAGAGGATTTCTAATTTATGATTTAATCTGAACTGGTAAAGGCCTCAGTTTGAAGAAACAGATTAATTCTGACTGAACAGAATCCGCCACAGAATTCTTCATAAATAATACAACACTTATGGCAGCGTAAAACTCTGAATTGCTGTGGTTTATGTGAGGTTTTGGGGTGACGGTGGCACAGGAGTTAAGCGCTCGCCTCATAATCAGAAAGTTGCAGGTTCGAGTCCCACTCAGTCTGTCGCCGTCGTTGTGTCCTTGGGCAAGACACTTAACCCTTGCCTGCTGGTGGTGGTCGGAGGGACCCGCGGCGCCAGTGCTCGGCAGCCTCGCCTCCGTCAGTGCGCCCCAGGGCAGCTGTGGCCACATCGTAGCTCATCACCATCGGTGTGTGAACGGGTAAGTGACCGTGTTGTGGAGCACCTTGGGGGGGTTCTAGGACTGTAGAAGGTGCTAGATCAAATACAGACCGTTTACCATTTATGACAGAGCTAAAGTGACAAACAGGTTTCACAAGGTCTCCTTCAGATTAACAGCTCATCTGCCTGGTCACTTGATCTCAATTTCTCTAAACACAGGCTGTTCACTGAGCCAACTACAAAAGCTCAGACTTGACCCGTGTTAATGGTTCACACTGCCGCTTTAAGAGTTTTGTTCCTCACCAACAGCAGCATAGAGAATATTTTAAACTTGTGTTTGTCGCGTAAGCTGATTATGCCGGGGACTGGATTGAGGGACGGCTGTCAACAGATGACAAAATTTGAGATTAGCGGTTTGTTTTTCACTGGGATTAGTGAGCACATGGAGCGGTTTCCAACAGAAACGTTAAAAAGTCAACACCCCCTCTGCCACCCCTCCTAGAACGAACAGTAAACAGATTATAGATTATGTTTTACTATAAAAACACAAGCATCTACAGATTAATCTTCACTCAGATTTTTTAAAATATATTTTATTGGCTTGGCAAACAATTCTTGGCTGATTGCAGGTACCAGGATCATTTTTACCATTTCATAGCACATTTTAAACACCAGTGTTAAAAAAGTTACTAATGACTCACTTTGACAGTCTCTGCTCCTGAAAGAAGAATCAAAACATCCTAAAAGTGTTGTAAAGCAATACAAGTAACATCTACACGTGTAACAAAGCGAACACTTCTGTTTAAATAACAGAACAAATCATTTTGATAAAAGCTGCTAAAGTTAGCTCCTTGCATCTCTGCTTGCCCGTGTGGCCCGGGCCATTCCAGTACGTACTGGAAGTCAACTGGTGTGAAGTTTTGTTTAAGATACAAAACAAAGGAACAAATCTAAGATCATTTAAATGAACAGGAGCCAAGGTGTAAACAAGAAAGCAGAGTGAGATAAGAGCTCTTCGATCTGCTGGATTCTGAAGGTTCCCGTCTCTGTTGCCCATTTCCAGCTCCGCACTACAGAGCTCTGCGTTCAGACACGCAACTCAGAGCTGGAACTTCGGGTCAGCCCAGAAAAGTCTTACAGCATCAGGAACAAAAATCTGCCTCCCTAAAAAGCGTTTGTTTAGACGTGACACAGGAGCACCATTAAAAAGACATTCGAGCCTTCTGTGAATAAATTACTGTTCAAGTATGCTTGTGCTGAAGTAAATACTGAGATATTAACAGAGTAGAGTATTAAATCATGGTTCTAGACTCTTTACAGCATAAGTTATGTTGTGTGTTTGGAAAATAAATCTAATATGCATAAAGACACATGACAGGGTATCTGCAGGTTTAAGGGAGCCAAATTTAAGACTTTTTAAGACCTTTTTTAAGGCCACTTAGACCAAATTTAAGCTATTTTTAAAATTAAATTTAAGCTATAATTTCCAGCTATTGCCTGGAGCCGGTGCTAACCACGCCGCGAACATGGGATTAGCCATCCAGTTACCATTAAACTTGCACTTCCCCATGGCGCACGCTCCCACTAGCTTAACCAGCTAATGTGCTCATCTAAAAGTAGCCCCCTTTCACAACCAACTGAATGTGTACGGTTCCGCTTACGCCAACAACGTACACAAAAAACGCTGAACACTAACTAGAAATTCACAAAAATTTTATAGAAATAAAAGAATTTTGTTTATTGGGTCTTTGAAAATTTAAGACCTTTGGAAACTGTATTTAAGGATTATTTGTTATTTTTAAGGATTTTTAAGGCCTTAAATTTGGAAAAGCTAATTTAAGACTTTTTAAGGACCCGCGGATACCCTGCATGATTTGTTGTATAATCATAACAAACCACAGCTGGAATATAATCCCAATTAGAAAAATGTAAAAAGCTGTCAAGAAAAAACTAAACTAGAAAGTCGGTAACTCGTCTCAGAGTATTAAACACTGACCTTGTCCTGTGTACGTTCGTGTGATCATGGGGGAGTAAACATCTCCCAGTGATGTTGCTCATAATCTGAATAATCCTGGTTCAGAAGATTGTCCGAATGTTACACGAGCACAGAATAACCTGCCTAGAGTATTAATAAAGAGTCCTGAATCCCTGATTCTGACAAAACAAAAGCATACAGCAAAGTGCAACTCAAAAGTGATTAAATCCTTCAACGGGCGATCAAAGACGTTCAGTCCACAAACACAAATATCAAAATGTCCTTTCAAAAGTTTTAAAGACAGGTGTCAAGTGCTACTTATAAAAAAAACTAAACAAGGACATTGTTGGAAGTCTACTTCAGACAAAAACAGCTAATCCAGCCGTTATTTAAAAACTAAAATATTAACAGTACTGCTTGCATTCCTAACTGTGCATTCTGACCTCCACATCCAGTGTTTTATTGCACCATCGCTCTCTGAACTCACAGCCACTCGTTTTCTGAGGAGATTTTTAAAGATGAGGGGAAAAAAATTTGGGATGAAGTTTTAATTTCAGATTATTAAGATCTGGAACGTGAAATCATTAGATTGATGGGATCGTGCTGCTGTGTGTAAGAGCTCCTCAGATGGACGAGGAGAAGGGGAAGGTCCATGTGGGTCAACGCATGTCTACGTTATCGTCTCTGTACCGTTACACAGCCCTCCTAGCTGGTTCGTTTGACCAACCTCCTAATCTACGACGCCGAGTCAAATATATCACCACTTCCACTATGATACAAAAAACAAGTCTCACATGTCTCCGTCCACTCCACGTCCCACTTAGTCCCCCTGGAGGACATGTGTGTGAGAGCAAAAGGGAAAAATATAAAAGAGGAATTAAAAAAGGAAAAGCTTCTCATACTATGCTCTCATTGGCCGAATTCTTCAGTTTGCTAGAGAGCAAGGAATGCTGGGAGGAGTTTGATTCCTTCACTTCAGGAATGAGAAGACGAACTTTCTGATTTGTTCTCCTCCATTCAGAATAGAGCTGACAGTGGTAGCGGAAGGAAACCTGCAAACAGGAAAACGGGATGTTTCACGTCAGGATTTACGGACGGGCATTCCAACATAGCTCCGTGTCAACTGGATGTTACCAGAGTCCAGAGGACGTAGATGGTGAAGAGGGCAATGGTGAGGGCTATGAGGCCCACAGCCTGCAGCCAGCTCCCCAGGTGCAGGTGGTCCTGAGCGCCTCTCAGACACAGCCAGCCGGAGATCGCCGCTAGAGGTGTGATGAAGAGGAAGCACACCATGTCGCAGAACAGTGTCCTCTTCTCGTTACGAGGGCCGGGGTCCTGCAGCCACTGTGGAAAAATCACAGCGAAGGAAAAAGATTACAGAAAAATGAATGCAGGAAGTTTTAGAAGGAGGGGAAAAATACATTCTCCATTCACTAAAATCAGAGAAAATGACCCAAAAGTTCCCTGGAAATTGAGCGTGGTGTACCTCTGTGAGAGGCCGCGGCCGTCTCTCGATGCGGAACTCCGTGTGACAAAGCTCGCAGTAGCTGGTGTTGGAGGACGACAGCCACTTCTCCAGGCAGCTCTTGTGCACCGTGCCCAGCGTGCCCGTGCAGTCGCACGGGGACAACAGCTCCTCGCTGCTACCTCCCTCGTGGCAGATGCGACAAATGGGACCGTCGCTGACGCAAAACAATACACATCGTCAAATTTATCTCAGTAGGAATGTCAAAGAAGATTAAAATCTGTATTTGGGTCTGGGGTACACACCTTTGTACGCTCATGGGTTTGAGCACAGATGACAGCAGACGTCCATCTAAGGCTGTGACCTGTGTGACGTAGAGCGCCTGGCATCCATCACCACCAGCTTCCTCCACAATCTTCCACAGACCCGTGCTGCTGGCACAGTCGCACAGAGAACCAGGCAGGTGGCAACACCCGCCTGTTGTCATGGTTACCGAGTCCAGACACCAGCAGTGCAGACGGAGCCGATGGGCTGGAGGTGATGGACACCTGGAAGGAGCAGCGGGAGGAAACTCCTGTTCTTCTCCAGAGCGGAACGACTCTGCAGATAAACACGCTGATCATTCATTTAGAAACAAAATCCGTCAGCGTACAAAATCAGATTCATGCAAATAACAATCGATAAACAGGGTGACCTCTTCTCGTTAAAGAAACAGAGAGCATATCCTTTTCACACAGCTCTATTGTTGTCATTTGGGTTGAAGACTCAAATAGTTGATGTAGAAACACGATGAATGAAATAAAACAGTGATCCTTCGGTCACTTTGCTCACAACGCTGCTTCAGATTTACAATCTATTTGCGTCATTTCCTGCCATCTCCACCTGAATGAGATTATTGAGAATCATATTAGATCGTTTACAAGAAGGCCGTCCATTTGGAGGTGGGCCAGTTTGTCCAGAGCAGCTGCTAATTCGGTAGAAAAGCCAGAGTGATGTCAGTGATGGCATATGAGACATGTGCAGCTGACTGATAACCAGCTGCCTCGCCTCAGATAACCCTTCCGTCCAGATAGGAGGCAGAATGACTGACTCGTGTTCTGTGGCACGCTTTATCCCACAAGTTAGGAAATTTGTGTTATTTCGTGACATTACAAAGGAAAATATCCAATAGAAGCAAGCATTTTTTTTAATCCACAACAAACAAATCACATGAAAAACATTAATCGTTCGATGAGTTGAAGCATAACTATTTATCTTTAAAATCTCTGTGGGCTACACATTGTGGCCTTTAATCGCGGCTTGATGCTGTTTTATTGCCAATGTGAGGTCCAGCTCAGTAGGTCGTTATTACACACACCTTCACGTGGCTGTTTATGAACAAAATATGAAAAAGTAACCATTTCTAAGTTACCTGGTCTTTCTGAATAATTGCAAACATTAAAAATGAACTATTTTAGAAAGTCACTGTAAATCAGTAGTAAAATTAGGAGACTATAAAAATATTTATTATTTAACCGGTTCAGCTGTAACATTAGGGTCGAAATTAAATAAAAAACGGGTCAGTTTTACAATTAAAATAAAAACGTCGGTGTTATTCATCAACACTGGCGGCATGGGGGTGCACGGTTAAGAAGCACAATCCTTGACCCAGATAAACAAAGGTAATCACTTATTGTTTTGTGTCTTTTAAAAACACGCTGTCTGTAAATACGGGGATTAAAACGGATTTTTTTTTTTCAAAGAAGGACATTTAATAACCAAATTTTCACAGTCAGCCGAATGGAGAAGCATCCCGACATTTAGTCACACATTATTTATCTTTTTATGGTGCTGCTAATGTTCCAGCTGCGGTCAGGCGTTAGGCGCAGACTACTGTCTGGACCATAGCAGCGTTAAGATAAGCTTCAGAGGCAAAACATAGCAGCGTGTCTCTTTGATGGGTTAAAATTTAAGACATTTTACTTGTAATTTGTCCACAAACAACATTAGCATTTTACTTTAGAGTGACTATGTGTTGCTAGTTGTCAGCAAAGTGTTGCTAACAGACCGTTGAAGTAAGTATACAGAAGTAAAAGCTAACTTACCTTGTTTTAGTGTCGTCCCAAGGTAGCGGACATTACCACCTTAAAAGCCTCGTTTTGCCTTCTCATTCCGTATTTTAGTAAAAATTAGAAGCAGCAAAGAAACAAAAAAACAGGTGTTCCTGAGCTAAGTGCAGCTATGCTGTAGCTAGCAGCTCGGTGTCAGCTGATAACCGGGGACAGGCTTCCGCTTTTCCATGGATTTAAATAAACACACCCAGAAGACTCACCGTCCCCTTCTTCCACCTCAGCCGTGTGGCTCAGCCTTGTGTGAGTACAACACGATGATGGTACAACACAATCACAACCATCACAGCTGACGGCAGCGTGTCACCGGGTGGGGCTTCATACCACCAGAGGGCTAACAGGAGCTCATCTGTTCAATGTAAACGTCTCAGTAAATAGCATTACATCAAGGACAAATATTTACTGTTATCTGGATTTGGTTACGACGTGTTTACAAATCACGACACCTGGATGCTAATGGCTACAGATTTGACTAAAATCAATGAAACAAGAGCTGAAACGCGACGAGCGCACCCTGGTGGCCAGCCCCTGCATGTCCCATAAACAAAATGATGAAACTCCCATTTCCCCAGACGCTCGGTTCAGTTAGTTCTGGTGTACATTCAGATATTTTACCAAATAAGTTTATGTAAGCTATTTGTGCTGCTTTAAAAAACAAACAACTGCAGCAAAAGCATGGCAGCACCCACAAAACTGTATTTTGTCTCCACTTTTTAACAAGACAGCAGATGATGATGCATTACCCTTTTGACACAGCTTATAATAAACACACAGTGATGTATCTTCCTCTTCTTCTACTGTTGGAAAAACAAAGACATAAATATTGGGCTGAACTCAGAGGCATACAAAGTGTTTTTGATCTACAGTAGGGTTGATCTTTTTCTAGATATAAACGTGACCCATTTTCTGGCCTCATTTCTAGGTCAGATTTCTAATTATTGTAGAAATTTCCAAACAAACACCACAAAAGAATTACCCTCGTTATTTATTAAACCAGCTAGAATTGAACACAAGGAGCGTGCATCCTAAAATAACTTCTTGCTAACGAGTCAAGTGGTTTCCACACATCATTCTTTATTTCAACATTATCCAACGGATGCAAAAGTAGCATGGTGTGTTTGTTTGTTCACTTCACATGCAAATATTTTGAAGAAATGTAAACTATTGTATAAAGTACTGAATAAATCATACATCAAAGCTTTTAAACCAGGTGCATTAAGAGAAAACCATTCAAATAAAATGTGCCTTTCTTACTTTTTAGTTACTTTCTCTAAAGCAACTAATAGCTAAAATTTCTAGTCAGCAAAGATCAAATGAGAAACATTCTGAATTTTGTTTTTATACATCCTTGAACATTACTCATACTCATCTAGTTACAGATAGACGGCAACAACCCAAGACAAGGACACCACGCATGGTGCCATATTTCCCTACTGAAAACAGCTTTCATGTTGCAACAAGCAGAAAAATGCTTCTCCGGGAACACTCGGAGCCATTCGTGCTTAGGGGGAGATCGTTTCATTGAAATAGTTGGACATTAGTGCAATTACCTTTTCATTTTGAGTCTATTCAAAATAGGACCTGAAAACAAGAGGCTGATCTTCTGATCTCACTGATAATCAGACAGACTCAGCAATTAACAATACCTTCTGTAATATGTAGCATTTCATTTTTCTTTGCAAAAACCTGGACATTAGCAGGCTGGAACAAACTTTTAGTTTGATTGCAACCGTTTTCCTTTGGTTTCTTTGCGAACTACATCGAACACACACACAAAAAAGTAAAATAAAACAGCATTTGTTTCACATTAGCCCTGATAAAATCAGCCAGTCAAAGCCAGTCTGGTTTCTGGCTCATGCTAATTTCATGCTAAGAAGGGCCTAAAGCAGAAACCAGAAACTTCAGGCCACACACCATTACTCCAAAACTAATCAGCTCCTCTTCTTTAGCTAGACAGACTTAAATCAGACCAACCAGACGTGAAATTCAACATTTTCACTGAAAATCACACCAGCTATGATGGGAAAAGGAGGGAAGCAGAAGCAGCTTGGAACATTGGTGAGCAGGCCTGCTGATCCCTCACCAGGAGCGGGTCAACAGGATCATCGTTGAGTGAATTAAAAAGGGACCGTAGTTAACGACAGCTTCAACCTGCATAAAGCCTCATCCTCTCCCACCCTGCTACCCAGAAGCACAAACATATTTTAGACAGCTTCTTTACAAATCAGAGTAGAATGAGAGGAAACACAGAAAAAAGGAATGCGAAATTTAAGAATCTGATGTCTGACATTTCTGGAGAAATTGGAAACTAAGAGAAGCGTGACAGACGAGATAAAGCAGAGGTCAAGACAGGAAAAGACTGAGAGGGTCACAGGCTTTGGCAGCAGGGGAGCTTGTTCCCTCTCTGCCCGTCCATCGTTGGGGGGACGCTTATGTCCACCACGTTGTCCCCTGGTGAATCATTAGATGCAGATCTGTCTGATATTTGCCTCTGAGATACAATCCGATAGATTTCTGAAAGAAAAAACAAAAACAAGTGAGGGTTTGAAAGCATTTTATTTAGCCGGCTCCCAGCATTGGATGCATCACTTTTCCTACCCGTCAGGATGTTCTTGAACGCTTCTTCTACATTGGTGGAGTCCAAAGCCGAGGTCTCGATAAAAGACAGAGTGTTTTTTTCTGTTGAAGAGAGATCAATAAGAGCGTCAATATATTTTTCATGCATTCCTGAAACTGAACTGATAGCTTGATGTAATAGTTCTGTTTTTGTTCAGTACAAAGAAGGGCATTGTTCAGATTTGTTGTAAAAAAAAAAAATAAACACAACTAAATAGAAAAAGAACACACGCACACGCTAGAGGAAGTAAAACACACCACAGCAGAGATGCAGGACATTGTTCAGAACATTGCTCCAGGGTAGGGCTGCTCGATTATGGCAAAAATAATAATCACGATTATTGGGACTGAAATTGAGATCTCGATTATTTAAGACGATTTATCAATTAATGTTGATTTTATTTGTTTTTATTCTGTCATAAAATTGCTCGGGGCGCAATCAGGACAAAAATAAATAAAAAGTAAGATGATCACTAAAATAACTCCTGATTCCCAGTATAAAAAGACTTATATGCTTTTAGCTCATAGTCTATGACCCAAGGGCTATAGACCTTGGTTTAACTCATTTAAGTCTAACCAGTACAGACCCAAATACCAATATCTGGCAAATACTGACAGCAAGAATTATACAGTGGCATTTATAACAAATAAATGCAAATAAATTGATGTTCACAAAATGTTGCATAATTTATTGAGTCGTGTCAAGGTGCTGTAGGAGAGTGCACCAGCACCGTGTCCTCAGAGAGATTAGTTATTAGTTATCAGCGTGAGGAAGTTATTTCTATCTTATTTATAAACTATTTATTTACAAGTCCATCAGTTAATGTAATAAATGTCCCAACCACAGCTGCACCCCCCACCCCCCAACCCGGTTTCACAGCAATCGGGGCAAGATGCACGTGTGTTTAGTGCGCCGCACGTGCACATTTAGCTGTTTTAGCGGCTCAGGAACCTGAAGGTACGGTGTGCGTGTCACTCACTCTGGTCAGTCCAACAGGGAGCCGGCTCCGAGAGCTGTTTCTTTAGCGACTGACACATCACTACATCATTCCCTTTCCTAATGTCCTGAAGAACGGTCCGGAGCGCAGGCGGAGTTTTTAGCTAACCTGCAGGAAATGTCGACGACAGTTATCCAGAAAGTAGCTAAGGGTTACCAGAGATGTTTCTGAGGTGTTCGCTAGGTACTTTTAAGATTTAAAAAGTCAAGAAGGGGGTCTGAAAAGCTGCTAGAAATAGCATCAAAGTCGCCAAGTTGGCAACACCGGAGGAGCGCTTCATTTGCAACTCAGGGCAGCGCAAGTGGTAGGAGCAAATATTCGGCTTGTTTTGTTTTTATAATCGTTCAAAACTCAGATCGTCTGCAGGGCACTTAAGGTGTGTAGAACAAAAATACTGCTGAACTCCGTTGGATTCCCTGGCTCAGTTTGTCCACTCTGATGGAAAATAATCACAAAAGTCCTCCCCAGTCTAAGCTACTGCTACTTACAGGTGAAACCCAAAATATTAGATACAGGGGTTGTCTATCCTGGTTCTGGAGGGCTGGCATCCTGCATGTTTTAGTTGTTTCCCTGCCTTAACACACCTGAATTTAATCAGCAGGTGATTTACAGGCTTCTGCAGAGCCTTATGAGCTTCTGAACAGGTGAATCTACCTCTAAACCAAGTGTTATGTTATATTGTGAAAAGGTTCAATATTCTAGACTCAAAGAGTCACACTCTAATCAGCGAATGAATCCAGAATTAGCTGCTGCAGAAGGTTCCTGAGCCAATAAATGATCTCTCAGTCTAAGTTGAATTACTCAGATAAATGGACTTTTGATTTACCTGCGAAGGCTCGAGCCTCGTCGGTGGGAACGGCCCTGAGGTGGCGGAGGTCGCTCTTGTTTCCCACCAGCATGATGACGATGTTGTTGTCAGCGTGGTCCCTCAGCTCCTTCAGCCAGCGCTCCACGTTCTCATACGTCAGGTGCTTGGCGATGTCATAAACTAGGAGGGCCCCGACTGCACCCCGATAATACCTAAAGAGCAATGCATTACATCATGGCTTTAAAATATGACATATTTTGTTTTCTACTTAACATACTTCGACCTAAAGGGTGATTCTAACTTTCTAGGACATTTGAGAACTGGAGCTGCTCAGTCAGCAGCTTCTCAGCTGGCCTTTTCAGCCAGTGATCACATTGCTCATGAATAATTTCCACAAAAGATCAGCTGTAAATAAACACTGGAGGCAACATTTAACTCACGCTGAGGTGATTGCTCTGTAGCGCTCTTGTCCAGCTGTGTCCCAAATCTGTGCTTTTATTGTCTTTCCGTCCACCTGGATGCTGCGGGTGGCGAACTCCACCCCTATGGTGCTCTTGCTCTCCAGGTTAAACTCATTTCTTGTGAAACGAGACAGCAGGTTACTCTTCCCCACTCCCGAGTCGCCAATAAGTACAACTATAACCAAAGTACACCAAAATGTGAAGAGCAATACCCCAACAAGCCAAAACAATAGAGGCTGATAGGTTTGCACATTATCATCATCATCATCATCATCATCATCATCATCAACACATCTTTATAAACCAGAATAATGTTTATTAACTTTCAGTAGGTTGGTTAGTTTATTTCTTTCTTTTTAGTCTGCCTCGCATGTATCTGGTAAATGAGTTTGTCTTTGTCTTTATTTTGAACATGCGTACATACACAGTAATACACACAACATAAGTAACTTCTCCATCTCGTTTTTTTATTTATTTTTTACACATGTTCAAAAGGGAGTAGGAGGAAGCATCAGCTTATTTAATCCCACCCCTTTCTCGACATCAAATAACTAACAGTTATTTAATGTTCAAATACTCCGAAATCCTGCAATTACAAAACTAAATGCTACTTATATACTGATGTTATTACTTTCACGAACTCCTTATTTAATTTATAAAACTATTGTGCCTGGGTATTTAACTTTCTTTGCCTGTAAACATAAAACCTGTTCTGTGATTTATTGAAACATGACATCAGTTCATGTCCTGAATCAGGTGCTTTCACAACTCTGACTTAAAACGATGAAAAGATATTAAATCTGATTCAAGACCATGATACTGTTCATTTTATAGCAAAACTTCACCTGTTGTAGGTTTTTACCTCAGGTGTTAACTGTATTTTCTTACAAAACATTTATTTACAAAAAGAAAATATATTCGTGTCATTTATAACATTATTGATAACATTTTGATAAAAGCCAAAACCCATAATAATTAGTCAAACTTCCGACAACTAACTATATTATATAATTTTCTTTTTTTTTTCTTTAGCCTTTTCCTAAATAGTCAATAATAAACAAGCTAACGTTGCGATTAAAACAATGGATTTCAAAGAGAAAAACATGTAGTTGTTATGATAGCAAAATAGCTCACACACAGCACACATTAGCTTGCTAATTGCCAACACTAAACCTGCTAAATTGGGAAGATATTTAACAAATTTGATGCGAAAGGACTGCCTTGAACATCAAACTTCCAGCAGTTTAACCCCACGGACACAGTGGTAAACAACCATCTTGTCGTCTGCCACTTTCTGCCAGAGCTAACTTTAGCATCTTGTACTTCCTTAGATTTCACTGCTGTCGTTGACTACAAAAATGGCCACGGCGCTGTCGTTCATTTACTTTTAAAGAAGAAATTACCTTTAAACAAGTAGTCGTACTCATCGTCTCGAGTTCCCATTTTCCAATACTACCTTTTCAAACTACTTTTTCCTCAAATATCAACAAACCCCTTCATCAACCGGGGTAGCTAACACCGCCCTCCAGGAGAGTCAAAAGCATGTGACTTCAGAACCTTCTTGTTTGGGCCAATGGGAGTGCTCTTTGGATTGACTGGTGGGTTAATTGACTAATCGCAGACATTCTTTAAGGAAAATTACCCAATCAACAGGAGGAGTGGAGAACCCGCAGAGCCATTACACCCTTTTGTTCTTATCATAGACACGACGCCTCATTGGGTGCTGGAGGGCGTAACAGTACCGCTGCCATATTGGATGGGTCTCCTAACTTTCCGAAGGACAAGCGAGTGAGTATGCCCGTTTTTGTGCAGCCTACGGTTACAACAACGGGCGTACTATTGAAAACACAGATCATGTGGGATTACTAGGGACCTTTCTAGAATACCTGCAAGGATTTTAGATTTAAACTTATTTTTTAATTGGGTAAGACCCTTCTTCAGTGGAAATCTGGAATGGAAACCATCAAAAATGGTGGCCGGCCACTACGGTTGCTCCAGTTCATGGGGCGTCTACAGATTATATCTGTGGTTCTTATCATTTAGACAGATCGTTATCAAAAGTGTGTGTGTGCAGTGGCGGTTCTACATCGAATTACTCCCCGGGCGAGGCCCCCTTTGAGCGCCCCCCCCAACCCCCCCCCCACCACCACCACCACCACCACCACACCACCCCACCTGCATGAACACATGCATGTTTTCTACAAACAGGCATGTTTTATTAGAACGACTATTGAACATTCATTTTTCTAAGTTGCACATATTTACATTAATTACTATGAAGTTGTCAGAATGTAAAGCACTATACATTATATACTGTATCAAAATATATAGAATCAAATATACAAAAACAAACAATAACTAAATATTAAGAATATATGAACATAATAGATAATAAATATTCTAAATAGCAAAAATATTTCACACATAACAAACTAAAGATAATCACTACAGCATTGCACTTAGAACAGAAAACACAAACTAAAATTAAAACCTAACCTTGATGCAACATCATCAATAATGTCATCACATGAAATCTGCTCCCCCTACTGAGTGATTGATACTATAATCAGAGCCAGGTTAGTGAGCCGCCCCTGAAACATAGGTGACCTCAGGTATGACTTGATCAAGTTTTGAAAAGCTCCTCTCAGCTTGAGCCACAGTGACTGGCAGAGCAGGGGGGGGGGGGGGGGGACACACACACCAAATAAGGACATCCTACTTGAATTTCCAATATTCAAATTGAAATAAAAATGAGACAAATACAAACTTTTACAAAACATAAATTGCAGCCTCGGTGTGTTTGGATTTTTTTTCAGTAGGCTTTTTATAAATGTATCAAAGCAGATTATTTAGTAATGTTGAATTCCACTCTTAATTTGAAAGTTTTAATTTCATGTCTATTGGAGGACCCATTACAACTTTGAACTTTGAATCTATATTTGCTGACACAAAGAAAACAGCTCTTCTAATACACAAGTTACATTAAAACTACCTACTTGGCCTACAGAATGCTAGATGGTATGTGATTAACTGAAATGAATGTAACAATTTTTTATTGTAATAATTCATACATCCTTTGACTAACATGGATGGACACAAATAGGCAAAAAGAACGAAATGTAAGGAGAGATTTTAATCATAAAAAGCTAAACAATGAGTTCTTAAGGCTCAACTCATTATTTCTATTTTGCAGGTTATTTTTAACTTTCACTACTACATGCATAAACATACAAATGGGAGACTTTGTGCAGCACATAGGCAGTCATTTTACTGAATTTAGTTTTAAAAGAAGATTGAGAGTTCAGACTCTTAAATGTGTTTATCATTACTGATAGTTTCAGATTTTAGGACATGGAATGCCTTCAAACACAGAACATCCTGAGCTCTTTTAAAAGGAATCTCCTACCATCTTTATGCAGATGACATCCAACTGTACATCTCCTTTAAGCCCCATGAGATGTCTAAGCTGCAGCTGTTACACACCTGCTTAGACTCTATCAGAACCTGGATGGCTGGGAGCTTGTTCCCAAAGTCAGAGACTCTCTTGGTCAGCTTGCTTCTCACACCAAACCTTCTGTCAGGAATCTTGGCGTGACCTTTGACCCAGCTCTCACCCTGGATTCTCATGTCAGTTCTCTTGTTTGCTCTTCCTTCTTCCATCTCAGGAACATTGCTAAGCTGAGTCCCATTCTGTCCCGCTCTGAACTTGAGACAGTTCTCCACACCTTCATCTCCTCACGCTTAGACTACTATAACTCTCTTTTCACGTGTCTGAGCAGAACCTCCCTGAACCGTCTACAGGTGGTTCAGAATGCCTGTGCTCGGCTTCTGACCAAGTCCTCCAAACACACCCACATCACCCCGCTTCTCCTCCAGCTTCTCTGGCTGCCATTCAACTTCAGGGTTCATTTCAAGATCCTGGTTCTGGTCTATAGGGCCTTACATGGACAAGCACCATCTTACATTGGTGATCTTCTTAGTCCCTACACCCCCAGCACGTCCCTGAGGTCCAGTGATCAAAGCCTACTTATGGGCCGTCCATTCCCATCTGTACCGGGTCGGCCCGGGCCGGGTAGCGTAGGTTGTTTACATATCTGGGTGGCCTGGTATTTTTCCGGGCCAACCAAGGCTCATTCTCAGCCCTCTTCTCGAGGGGTCTGCTTCAGGCCGACCAGGGCCAACACACCCACTGCTGACAGCAAATTCACACCTTCCATTAGAGCAAGCCTCTGATTGGTGGGTAGAATCAGCCCACATGGGCTTAAGGCAAGGATGTGTGGAATCAACCGGGCCAGGCTGGGGCCGACTGGGGCTACCCGGCACAGATGGGAATGGCCCATTAGACTACTGCAACTCTCTTTTCACTTGTCTGAGCAAAACATAGTTTTAACTGAATACTAATTTTATTCCCATAATATATATTTTAGACAACTTCACACTCTAATCAGATTAAAACATCAAAAGTAGTTTCCAAAAGCTTTCAATCTGCAACGGGCAGCAAAGACACAACCTCCATCAACAACAATTCATAGAACTGCTTTATTTTTTGTTTTTATTCCGACTGAATCCAAACACACACACACACACAGCCATCTATTTATTGCCATGTATAAATAGATGAATGTACACAGATGCACATAAATACACTTTTCTGATATGCATATTCATTTTGAAATCATGCTATGTTTCTGGCTCCCTCTTGGCTGAGGGCACACAGCGATCTGAAAACACAAACACAGCACAGCAGTTGGAAGAATCCCTATTAATTTGCATGTAAAGTAAAACCTACAAGCCTTTCAGTTTTTGGGATATCATACAAAAAAAAAAACAGCCGTGGTTTGTACACCACAAAATATACAGCAGTTGCATCTCAATAGACACACAAAAAATGATAAATCATGTAGATCGCCATTACGCAATCATTTCTCGCCCAGCTGCAAAAAATAAAACCAAACAAAAATAATATTCTCCAATTCAAATGGAAAATATATTTGTATATCTTTATATATGTATTTATAGATTTATGTACATATTCTCAGCAAAACAACAAGGGAGAAATATAAATACGACACAGGTGAAAACAGAAATATAAACAATCGACCAACATGTAACATTTTCCAAAGAGGCAAAAGAAAATAAAATAAAAAAATTAAATAAAAAAAAGCAGCTACGTGATCAAATCAGACAACAGACTGTACAAAATATTGCTGCCATGGTTTTCATCTGATGAACAGCAAACTGATTACTGAACTGGCCACTGCACATCATGAAAACAAACTATTTTACAATGTCAGACACTGCTGTGTTCCTTACGCTCAAAAACACGTGTAGAAACGTTCCAACCCACCGAATAAAGTCCCTCTGAAGCTTCAAAAAGTGGAACTTTTAAAGTCCTAAAGATGTGAACTACAGAGAGACTACAGTAAACGTAAAATCTACACACACGGTGTCTGACAAACACCCACGCAGTCGTAGAATAAAACATCTAGATCACATCATGTGTGAGCTTGAAACTTTCATCTAACAAGTGAAAAATATGACTTCTGCATTTAATGTTACATGTGTTTATTTGGCCTCTATCACTAGTTCTTCTGTAGATTCTCCAAACTAAGTGCAAAAATAAACAAAAAACACATTCAGCCCATCCACAAACTGCTGGGTTTCACCAACATAATAATGTAAAGTGTGGATTCTAATTTACAGCCACAATATGGACGGATAAGTACAAGCGATGGTCTACAACTACAAACGTTTGGGCCGTCTGCTCCATGAATGAGGACCTGATATTTAAATACACAAAATGTCCTCAATTATTTTCTCATTTAAAATTTGAATCTGTCCAAACACCAGGGCAACACTGGAAGACATTGCAGTGGAGTAAACAGTCCTGTAATAACAACGTTTGCACATTCAGTGTTGAGATGACAGGAGTCAGCTGTTTCTGCACATCGTGTAGTAAAACGCGTCATCATAACACTGCATGTCTATTACAAATGTGTGACGTTTAAGGACCCTGGGACATTCCTAAAAGGCTGATATGATCAGAACAAAACATAAGAAATTCTTTGGGTACATGTTGCAACAAAAAAGCTTCTCAGATTTAAAAATCACACATTTTAGAAAAAGCCCCGTCTTTGTAGCACAGCTGATGAAAATACCTCAAGTAAATAAGTGGCAAAATGTGCTTTTAATAATAACTATTTTGCCAATTTTTAAACTTTACACTAAACTTCAAATCCTTCCCTCACATTTTCCTGCTGGACATTAGTGAATGGCAGAAGTGGGATGTTATTGGCTCAGTGATGGTTTTATTAGTGTTTGTCTAGACACCGCCAGGTTTTCTCACTGAATTCTTTACATAACTGGCTGGTTAGTTAACATACCAGCTTCTGTTGAGCTGTGATGTGGGACGATGCTCCAAGCACCACTGATTAAAAACATCCATTCAGTCTAATGTAGTGGATATAAGCTAATTCAGTAGCGGTTAAGGCAGTGTTAGCACAGGTGTGAACAAAAAAATCTAGTCTACTTAATTATATAATGTGATCAAAGAAACTGCAACTTCCAGTTAACAGTTAAACACGTGTGGTGGAGTTTAGTTTGAGTCACTTCCACTTCACCATAATGCCCTACATCTTTGATGAAGGAGAGAAATTCACTTCCTGCTTTAGAGCCACTTGCTTTCTCATTCATTTAGGAAAAAAATAAATTACTTTGAAATACTTAGAAGGATGTTTTATAAAGTGCCTCTCAAGATAAAAACCACGAGGCGCTTCACAAGAACAAAAAAATTATGATAATAATCAATAAAAATAAAAAAATAATTTAAATCTCTTACTTAACTGCAGAGTCTGGATTGGGCTTCTAATGCCATTAGTGTAATAAACCCATGAGGTCCAACAGCGCCTCCTGATGTGGGTCTAGAACTCGTGCTATAATCACAACAAATGACTAATCTTGCTCTAAATGCAGGGGCTATACCAAACCTCTGGTACTTGTAAACAATGCAGGTTTTAAGGAGCACAAATACCCTTTTTGTTTTTTACACGTGACTTTCTTTTTGACAGAAAAAGATCTCCAGCCATTAAATACGTTAAGTACCAGATGATGTAGCGAATATGAATTTAAATAAAAGACTCATCAGAAGCAGCTTCTCCACTCACATCACAGCGACATGAGCGACTCGGCAGATTCAGTGAGAAAACCAGTCAGAGGGTTTTGTTTAGTGTGAAACAGAACATACAACACAATCATGGTGTTTCATGGATCTCAAACACGTAATACTATACTGCCTTTTACACACCACATGTCACATATACATACATAATCCTTATATTGATACAGTAAGTTCTATCTGACGAGGATGGTAGCCAGGGTCTGTTGGAAACCAGTGATTTTATCACTAATAGGTTTGTTTCAGGTGTTCGGGTCACTTTTTCCTCTCCGGTAAACACAAGAGATCGAGCTGCTGCCACTGAGGTCCGGACTTCAGCCTGATGAGTGTCCTCTGCCGAGACGTGCACTCCTGTCTGCCACAAAACAGCGTTTACTGCAGAAAACAGAAGGACAAGCTCATGAGTGCGGACGAGTGTAAACACTTTTATTACCCTTGGGTGCAAGAAAAGCTGAGACAGATAATCAAAGTGCATCAATAAAACTTAACTGAGTCAGAAAGACGGTGCAGTGAGCACAGGCTGAACCGCTCTTTCCTTTTAAATGAATAAAACGGAACCTTTAGAGTTGTATTAAACTATATTACAGGTGATACTCCAACAATTCGAACGTGGTACAAAAGTCCATTTATTTCAGTTATTCAGCTTAGACTGAAAACATCTAATGCAGCATGTTTTAGTGGTTTCTCTGCTCCAACACACTTGGTTGAATCGCCTGTGCAGCAGCTCATCAGGCACTGCAGAAGCCTGTTAATCACCTGTTGAAACTAAATTGCGCTGGATACTGGGGTTTTCAAAAGCTGTAACCCATAAACCCATATTACAACAAAGGCTTGAAATATCTGGTTTTGTATCTGATGAGTCTATCATTCACCGTCCGGCCAAAAGAGAAGTCACCACCCGGATTTAACTAAGCAAACAGGTAGGACTCTCCTATTAGATAACTATTGCATGGGTGATCATCTTTCAGCTGGTAACAAGTTATTTAACCCCAACTGGTGCAACAAGCTGCTTTTAGTGATGGGATTTATGGCTCTTTCATGGGAGCCGTTCATTAGTCGGTCGTCTACCTCAAAGAGCCGTTCAAAAGACTGGCTGCTTTGAACACAGCAAAGCCGAGAGAGGGGGAGTATTGAGAGCAACGTGTTCCTCCGGTGTCAGTGAGGGCGCACGGTGGTTGGGTAGCGCTCCCTCGACGTCCGTCACAGCGGTGGGTGTGGGTTGAGCGGGTGGGTTTTACCGACTTAGGGGGAGGTTTGTTACCGGAAGAAAAGATGAACGACTCTCTACAGGGACTCGGCTCTCAACGTTTACTTTGAAAACTCGTTCAAAAGATTTGATTTTTTTCGTGAATGTCACATCACTAGTTGCTTCCTATTTCTGAAACAACCATGTGGAAAGTCACATCTGGTGGTCGTGGAAAAGATGTTAAGTCTGTTAGAGAAGGGTCAGATCATCGGCATGCATCAAGCAGAGGAAACATCTAAGGAGATTTTAGAAACGACTAAAACTGGGTTAAGAACTGTCCAACGCATTATTAAAACTGGTACTGCCTACTGTACAAGCCTGTGGGGGCAGTGCTATGATCTGGGCTTGCTGCAGTTAGTCAGGTCTAGGTTCAGCAACAGGATGTGCTCCAAGAATGAGGTCAGCTGACTTCCTGAATATACTGAATGACCAGGTTATTCCATCTTCCCTGATGGCACGGCCATATTCCAAGATGACAATGCCAGGATTCATCGGGCTCAGATGGTGAAAGAGTGGTTCAGGGAGCATGAGACATCATTTTCACACGTGGATTGGCCACCACAGAGTCCAGACCTTAACCCCATTGAGAATCTTTGGGATGTGATCGAGAAAGTCAGGCTCTACCACCATCAATGCGAGATCTTGGTGAAATAACTGACATGAATGAACTTTTGCACCATATTCTGATTTTTGGAGTTTCACCTGCATATCTTAAATGATTAAAAAAGGAGAATTTATTTTCATTCCGACTCTGAATGCTCAGATTTTTACATTGGAAGTGAGCTTGCAGAGTGATCTTGAGAAACTAAAACGCATAAAATAATTTACAAATGACTTCCTGTTGGCTGAAATCAAACAAAGCCATTGCTAAAGTCCTGACCATCCAGCAGCATGGTAGGATGAGGCTTCACACAACTGCTGCCTTCCATGCTGGAGACACACACAGAATGGCTGTTTGTGGATTAAATGATCATGCAGCAACCATTTCCACCCATTTATTAATGATAATGAATGCTGCAATGTAGGTGAAGGCTTTATGAACACACACCGAGCCTACTCTTCTAGTTCTAATGGACTCTGACCTGATCTTTTTTCTGCCGGATGAGTGGTCACCTCAACATCTGATTCCTGTACTTTGTATTTTAGCTTCTCACTTACTGTCTCTCTTTCCCATTCCCCATCTGGCAGGGCCTTAGACTCTGAGCCATAGTGTAGCGGAGAGTACACCCAGGTCCTGTCCTCTGGAGGCTGTTTTTACACACCCAACACAGCAGAGGGGGCCAGAGGGACAGGAGGAAAGACCAGAGGGACAGACAAGCAGCAGAGGCAGGCAGGAGAGAAAGACACAGGAGAAAAGACAAGACAGGAAATGAAAATTAGGGATGCATAAAGGAGGAAATGTTTTGAGACACATCAGAAAGTGTGAATTTTTACATAGTGAAAATACTTTAACAGGATCTGTCGATCCCAGCAAGAGCTATTAAAGAGAAACGGTAAATCTGTGTTTGAATGACTTGTCTTTGTGCTTTGTGATGTTTCTAATGTGCAAATGCACGGAGCCAGGGATGAGATGCTGCTGCATCAAACGAGCAGGCAGAACGAGGAGAGAGAAGGTAGAGATGGGAAGAGCCAGGATGCCAGGAGAGTCAGACACAGAGAGCATCCTCAGACACAGCAAAGCAGGGAAACAGGATGTGTTGCTCCTTTACTGACAAGCAAATGTGTTGTTTATTGTCAAAGGCTTCTGAGAAGTCATAGCTAGCAGCTTCAACATGCGTTTAAGGAGATGCCATAAAAAAACAGCCTATGGCAGGTACACGAGGTGCAAAAAGGGATAAGGCACGCGGTCAGTGAGTGACGATAAAAAACAAACTAATAAACTAAGAAGTGACAGAACTAGAAAACCCTCTTTCTTTTGTTTACCTGCCTCCCACACGACTCCACGAGGAGACAGGCTTTGTTTTAATTGTCAACATCATCACAAACAGTCCAGCAACTAACAAAAGAATCTAAAAAACAAAACAAATGACAGGCAGGGGCTATGTTTTCTAAACCCTTGTTTTATCTGAACACAGCATTCGTGTGTCTTCTGAGTCCAACCCTCATGTGACCAGGGTTGGACGGCTGCTGCTGTCCAAGACCACTGCTCACTTATAGGACAACACGACTGGCCCTTCCTCCTCACTCCAAAGGGAGAGACCACCTAGGTGCTCCCATCTGGAAACCGGCAGCGATGCAGAGACAAAGCGTATGGACATAGAGAAAGGATGGAGGAGGGGTGATAGGAGGACAGAGAGGAGGAAAAAAAGACACATGCTGAAGTGAAAATGACTGAAGGTGTAACCTCTGCAGGGATCCACTGGGTGAGTCAGCGATGACGGATGGATCCACGAGTTTGGCAGTCACCATCTTTTTATATACACTGCTTTGGTACAGTATCACTGTCTCACCCCTCTCATCAGGGAGACAACTGCATAGCTGAGGCAATGTGATGGAGGGCAGATGGAGATCAAAGAAAATGGGAGGGGAAATTGATTTGAAAGCTGGGGTTAAATGGAGTGGAGGAGGATGAGAGTGGACAGTTATGAGGAGGATGACGGGAGAATACTTCCCACACAACGCTGCTGTCAGAAACACTCATGCTGTCTGTTAATTTCATAAACTATAGGTTTCATCGCAACACATTTACCTTTCATGGGTTTTATAATTAAACAGCTCAAAGTTCAGGTGAACTTTTTCAGCCATATTGCTTTAGAATCGTAAATTCTCTTGTCATCTGAGATGCAAACAGCTGATGCACCTAAAGCTGTCAGACTGAAATCGAATCACCCGAAACCAACATCATTACCACAAAGGTACAAACACGGCCCTCTGACACCAAACTGATGCTCCAACAGTTTGTTTTCTGAACCAAAGCCAGCAGATTTTGGCTCTAGTGTGACAAAAATAAGAATTGATCATGATGCACAGAGAGAGAAATCACTGACTTGCATTGTTTTTATGCAGAAAGATCTCAAAATATGTCAAGTGCGGTGTAATCAAACTACAAGGAAGATGTGCTGAAAGTCCCTTTGGATTTCTGTGGTTATTAAAAATGGACCTGGCCAGTTGGTCTCTCAACGCGATTGACAAAATTTTTTCAACGATGAGAACGGGAGAAGGAGCTCCCGGATGCCCCTCTGGGACAGAGCCAGCTGGGTATATCATGGACTCCTGGAAACAGTGGAACCTGATATGCCTCTCTCAACTGTCTGTAGAGGATTCTGTAGATGTTTGGATATTTGTCGTTTTGGTGTCGGGATTCCTGCTGTTTGGCATGAGTGGTTATCTGGCATACCGGAAAATTAACGAGCTTTCGAGGAATATTGGCTCAATCCCGGAGCTCAGGGATGGATTACACCTCGCTGTGAATGCATAAACTCATATAATTGTCAAGATGAGTCATAAGCTTGGAACTCTGGTTGAGATTCAGGCTCTGGCACAAAAGGTGGATACCATCAAGGAGCGAGTGGACGGATCAACACGAATTGGGATTTATTAATTACGTCATTATTGGATCTAGAGGGGTTGAAGACCAACAGAACACTAAGGCAGAGAGGAAATTATCTCTGTCTGTTCCCAAAACAATTTTTATCTGAATCTGGTGCCCTTGGAGCCTGTGAGGCTGAAGTGATAACTCCCCCCTCAGAAGAAATGTGGAATGCTGCCATCGCTATGGAAACTCTTTCTCCCTATCCCAGCCTGGGCGGGACTGTGACCGGTGAAGGCCGTGGAACTGTATCTAGGAGTCACTGTGCTCTCTAACCCATTATCTCCCTCCCCTGTCCAAACGGAGGTGATGAGCGCTGCTCCATGCGGCTGCATGCACTGAAGTGAGGAGAGTCCCAAACCTACCTCCCCACCTAGTGGACACTTATGTTGTGTAATGTCTGAAGTCTGTGTGCATATCTGTCTGAGGTGTTTTTTTTCCATAGCAAAGCTGCCCTCTCTGTGGAGGGTAACTCTGAAGTGCCTTTTTTTCCCCTTCCTCCGACTCCTCATATAAACCCTCTTGATCTATAACGGTAGCGTGACTCGGGTCGCAAAAGTTCACAGTCACCAATTCATGTCATGTGTCTATGTATGCATGTATGTCTGATCTCAGAATTGTGTGTACTGAAACTCTAATTTCCCTCTGGAATTAATAAAGTATTTTTGAACTGAATTGAATTTGAATGGCTCCTTCGTTGTCCCACTAACAAAAGTACTTGTTCTTGAGCGATGAATCAAAGGTCACGGAGATCCTGGGCCAAAACCTTTGCTGACAAAAATCAACATTAAGACAAGCGTGGCTGGCGAGTTTCGGGTCTGTGCTTCAAACCCATGCTACTGAGAGCATCAATAACATCTATATATCTCTATATATATATCTATATTATAACATCTATTATAGCTTCCAGTCAGGTTTTCGTAGAGCTCATTCTACTGAAACAGCTCTTCTTAGGGTTTCTAATGACCTTCTGACTCACAGTGATGCAGGGGACTGTTCTGTTCTGGTGCTGTTGGACCTGACTGCAGCCTTTGACACTGTTGACCATCACCTGCTACTGGAGAGGCCTATCAGGATCTGCTCTGGAGTGGTTCTCCTCTAATCTCTCTGAGCGCTCCTTTTCTGTGGCCGTCTCCAAGTTTAGGTTCTCCACCACCTCTCTTACCCATGGTGTCCCACAAGGTTCTGTGCTGGGGCCTCTGCTCTTCCTCCTCTATCTGCTTCCTCTTCAGCACATCCTGAGCTCCTTCAAAGGAATCTCCTACCATCTTTATGCAGATGACGTCCAACTGTACATCTCCTTTAAGCCCCATGAGATTTCTAAGCTGCAGCTGTTACACACCTGCTTAGACTCTATCAAAACCTGGATGGCTGGGAGCTTTCTTCAGCTGAATGAAGATAAGACTGAGATCCTCATCTGTGCCCCAGACAAGCTGGTTCCCAAAGTCAGAGACTCTCTTGGTCAGCTTGCTTCCCACACCAAACCTTCTGTCAGGAATCTTGGCATGACCTTTGACCCAGCTCACACCCTGGATTCTCATGTCAGTTCTCTTGTTCGCTCTTCCTTCTTCCATCTCAGGAACGTTGCTAAGCTGAGTCCCATTCTGTCCCGCTCTGAACTTGAGACAGTTCTCCACACCTTCATCTCCTCAAGCTTAGACTACTGTAACTCTCTTTTCACGTGTCTGAGCAGAACCTCCCTGAACCGTCTACAGGTGGTTCAGAACGCCTGTGCTCGGCTTCTGACCAAGTCCTCCAAACACACCCACATCACTCCGCCTCTCCTCCAGCTTCACTGGCTGCCAGTAAACTTCAGGGTTCATTTCAAGATCCTGGTTCTGGTCTATAGGGTCTTACATGGACAAGCACCATCTTACATTGGTGATCTTCTTAGTCCCTACACCCCCAGCAGGTCCCTGAGGTCCAGTGATCAAAGTCTACTGGTTGTGCAGCACCAGGCTAAAGACCAAAGGTGACAGATCATTTGCTGCTGTGGCCCCCAGACTCTGGAACTCTCTCCTCCTGAGCCTGACATCAGTGGACTCAGTGGTCTCCTTCAAAAAGCAGCTGAAGACTCACTTGTTCAAGCTGGCTTTTGTATGACCTTCTTCACCACTCTCTCTTTATTCTGCTCTCCCCACCTATTCCACCTTCGTCAGGATCCACTGATTTCCCTCTTTCCTATTCACTCTCTCTCTTTCTTAACATTTTTTCTTTTAAATCCCAATTGCCTATTTTTGCTCATTTTAAATATATTTTTAAACATTTTCTAAAGGCTTTTTTATATTTTAAAATTTTGTTTTGTTTTTGTGAAGCGCCTCGTGATTTTTATCTTGAGAGGTGCTATAGAAATGATATTTTCTTCTTCTTCCTCCTTCTGAAGTTTGAGTGTCAGCCTGATCCAGTCAGACGAGCACGCTGTTAAATAACTGAGGAGTTCACGGACTAATCTGTTACTCATCGGGCTTTCTCATGACACATTAGGGGGTGTTTGATTCCCGAAAGGAGACACCCAGCAAGCGTGGCCAGGTGGGAATCTTTCAGTCTATGACCTGACCTGATCCTCATGCATTCATTTAAATCGGGTGCAAATTTAGCAGGCATGAGGCAGCAGCCTTCTCAAGAATCACTGCAGGAAGGAGCAGGAAAGTTAAGTTTTGCATGCTAGTAAATAAAATCCTAAAGACAGACTAGATTTCTAGGAAATGCTTTCTTGCTAAGAGGAAGATGAAAAGACGGACATAACCCTTATAGTCCCAGAATAAAAATAGTAGATCAAGGGCATTTAATCTTCAACGTGATTGACAAAATTTTTTCAATGATGAGAACGGGAGAAGGGGCTCCCGGGTGCCCCTCTGGGACAGATCCAGCTGGGTATATCATGGACTCCTGGAAACAGTGGAACCTGATTTTCTAATCTCAACGGTCTGTAGAGGATTCTGAAGATGTCTGGATATTCGTGGTGTTGGTGTCAGGTTTCCTGCTTTTTGGCCTGGGAGGCTACCTGGCTTACCGGAAAATTAACAAGCTGTCGAGGAATATTGGCTCTTTCCCGGAGCTCAGGGATGGATTATACCGCGTTGTGAATGCACAGACTCATATGATTGTCGAGATGAGTCGTAAGCTTGGAACTTTGGCTGAGATTCATGCATTGGCACAAAAGATGGATGCGATCAAGGAGCGAGTGGACGAATCAGCACGGATTGGGATAGATAAATTTACGACATTATTGGATTCAGAGGGGTTGAGGACCAACGGAACTTTAAGACAGAGAGGAAATTATCTCTGTCTGTTCCCAAAACAATTTCTTATCTGAATCTGGTGCCCTTGAGCCTGTGAGGCTGAAACGAATCTCCATACTAGCTAGATCTTCCTCTCCTCATCATCGCCTCTGTTGGACAGCATCACACAGCTCAGTCAAGCCCATACACGTGTTATATGAGATGACGCACACCAACACAAAAGTACGGAACTAACATAAACACATCAGCTAAAGATGCTGCTTACTGTGGAACATTTTAGATGAACTTACAAAGTAGACATCTGTGATTGGCACATCATCCTCATCATCCACTGAAGCCTGGCTGGTGCACCCTGAGCCAGACACCTGACTGGCCCTGTCTGCCTCCATCATCGCCACCTTTGGACTGGAGGGCCCTTCTTCAGCTGGCCCCGGTGAGGCGGGAGCAGCTGGAGCAGACGAGGAGGAAGAGGTCGCCTCAGGAGCTGATAACGAGTCGGACGGTGCTGCTTCCTTTGGACACGCTGCTTCCTGAACCTCACTGTAGAAACAGATGGAAATCGCCTATAAGATACATGATTTGGTTAATCTGCTAAAGCAGAAGGAAACTGGACCCAAACACACCCTGGCTAAAAACCCAGTAGCTGTGTGTGTTTGTGTGTGTTGTAGATGCTTAAACTCAAAGATTCGCTGGCTGGCTGGCTGCATGTTGTCACAACCCTTTACTGTTTCTGGTCAGATCATCAACTATTAGGATGGATTTAGGTGCTTCCCAGTTGCTTTCTCAGCTTTCAGCTCAGCTCCAGCAGAGGAAGAGCCTGGCAGCCGGCCGCTGAAGCAGAAAAAGCAAACTTGGCACCTGAGAGGCAGAACTGATTGGCTGAATAACTGAGTGGGATGGGACGGCTGTTGCCAAGCAAAGAGCCTCTCTAAACCCAAACTAATGCCACCCAACTTTATGCTTTTGTCAACTGAACCCCCCCATGCCGTTTTCTCTTCATCCCACATCACTTCCTTTACTTAAATTCACTTTATACCTTTCTCTTCCAATCAATCACCCTCTTTTCTTCCTCTTTATCTGTCTTCTCATATCTGTCCAACCCGTTTTCCTGTTGTTGCTCCCATCAGCCCCTCCACACCCCCAGGCCTTACGTCTAGCCTCTGCCTCCTCAGCATCAAACCCAATTATTTAGTTGCTTCCACTCAACACTTCAACCCCTCCTGACCTGACACGAAAACATTTCCTCAACCATCTTGATCCGTCTCAGTTTAATCTAACAATACACACACCCTTCATTCAGCTGAACTCTTATCTAGACTTTAGCAGCAAGTCAAACTGCATGTAAATGAAAAACTGGTGAAACGTTCAAAGCTTCAGGTCCTCCTGGCATCATGGGAGCAGCCTCGGGCCTGAAGGCTACCTGACCCACTGCCCCAATTCTACGGGATGGTTGCCCTCAGTGTCTGCCTCATAAAACAAACAAAAAAATAATAATTACACGCATGTACGCACTTCTCTCCTAACCTAATTACTGTTGAAGTCTGCCCCAGACGGCATCCACAGCCTTTATCTGTGGGTTAAGCGTGCATGTGTGTGTGTAAGAGAGTGAGAGTGAACTAATCCAACATCTTTTTGGTACAAGGTGATGCACTGACAGCACCTTACGTGTAATATACTGTAAGGTTTCAAACTGGTCATCTATAGTCTTTTTTTTAATGTTTAACAAAAGGGAATGAGACAGTTAAAGTGATGTATTATTTATGTAAAAATCCTTTGTTTAGATAAATATATGAAACCTCACAAAGCTCCAAATCTCCAGATGTTCAAGAGTCGCCTGAAGACTAATTTTTATTCGTTCGCCTTCCTGAAAAGTGGAACACACGTCTGAATTCCTCTGTTATTGCTGATTTTCTTTTAATGATAGTTTTATTGCTAGTTCAGAATGTTTTGACATTTTATATGTTTTGGGGATTCTGCCTTTTGGTTTTTGTTTCGTCTGTGTTCAGCACCTTAGGCTTAAAATAATAATAATAACTTTATTAATAAAGCACTTTCAAATAAGGCTCTGAACAGGAAGGGATAAAAAGAGTACTGAAACAACCACAGCCGTGCAGGTAAGAACTGATGAATTATAAAGAAATAAACAACTAAAAACCAATAAAACCTGTTCATACCGCATGCGTTAGCTGAGGTAAAAAGTAAATAAAGTGAGTCTTTAGTAGGGATGTAAGAAAATATCGATTTGGCAATATATCGTGATAATTTTTCGAGCAATATTATATCAATATTCAAAAGCCGTGCATCAAAATTTTGGAAGAATTTACTCGCAAAGATTTTCTTTTCTTTGGGTGCAAATCAAACGCCGACTGCTGGTTAGCAGCAGAGTGCATTAGGTTTTGTTTCCACCACTGAAATGTAAATACCTCTGTTATGGTTCAGATACCTCATGTTAAACATGTTTCCTATCAGTTTGGACTGTTTACTGAATTTTCCTACAATAATTTCAGTCTAAAAAAAATCGCTAATATCGGCTGGCTGCATTTATTGCAATATATTGTGATGTATAGTATCGTCTCCCCTGTATCGTGATACGTATCGTATCGCCAGAATTTCCCCAATACACATCCCTAGTCTTCAGCTTAGCTTTAAAACCATCCACAGACCATGCCTGCCTAATATCTATGCCTAATTATGTGAAGGTTGTATAAAGCACTTCACAAATGAAGATGATCCTAATCTAAAGGTTATGTTTACTAAGTTATTACTATGTAATAAGTAAGAGGTCGTGTTTGACCACTGAGGCTAATAAAACCACACTAGTCTGATGGGATTATCTAGTGCTACTGGCCTTAAGCTTGGTTTATGCTTGATGCATTCACTTTCCGTGCGGTAATGCGGCTCGCGGATGGAACGCGCTTCACAACTCGCAGCGTTTATGGTTCGTGCGGCTCGTCTCTGCGGTGAGACAATATTCTCCCAAACTGTAGGGGGCAGCATGGAGCTCTACGGCATGCATCCAACACTAAACCATAGTAGAAGTAGAAATTACTGTTTACAACATGGCATTTCAGCATTTTTTAACAGCGTCCTCGTCTTTTCCGACAGTGCGAGCTATTTCTCTCCAAGAATTACTAACAACATGTTGATCACGGTGATCTCTGAGAGCTGAATCATACAAATGTCTGTATTTACAAACCTCTACCATACTAGTTCTTGCCGGTTTACCATGTTTTTCCGCGTCCGACCGTCCGCGTGGTTAGAAATTTTCCGAGGTGCGCGTTGCGGAAATTTTGGGCCGTGCGAAGGCGCGGTGGAGGGGCGTGGTTGTTAAAATGACGCAATTTCGCCGTGCGGACCTCGCGGACGCGTCAAGCATAAACCAACCTTTACATGACTCATGCCAACATTATGTTCATTGCCGAGTTTAGTCTGGGTGGAAAATCTGTATTTTTGATGCACAATGGATCTAAATTGCATTTGTTGGTTTGTGACATGATTCAAATCAGACTTTTACAGATATATTTTAGTTTGGATCAAATTCACTCACAACACACAGCAGGGATTTCACCTTTGGACCAACTACAGAGTTACTGGATAAAGAAATCCTCATGACTATTGTAGCGTTTATTAGCAAATGTCCACATCGTCGCCTCAGACACTGATAATACATCAGATCACCTGCAAGTAGCAATGTAGAACAAACACTAAGCCTGTATTAATACCTGGCTTCAGGGGAGGTTTGTGGAACAGAGATGGTTGCCTCACTGTCGTGTCTCTTCAACTCCACTTCCACCGTAATGGTCTGATGGTCCTCCTCACGTACACGCAGCTCCTCCTGGGTCCTATGGAGAAAAGCAAACACACACACAGGAACACAGGAAATGAAACACCAAAAGCAAACACACACCTCAGAAGAAGGGGCTTACTCATAAACACACCAACTACCCATTTTCTCCATTCTCCACCCACCACACCCAGAAATGGTGTGAAAACATGGGAGCTGGAAAGTGTCTGAGCTTTGTAAAAGGGGTCGAGCTGAAACTCACCTCCCGTCATGGCTGAGAGACTGGGTGTGCCTCCTGAGGACAGAGAAACACTGTGAGAACAGGCTGTTAAAGTACAGATGGAGAAGGCACAACGTGTGTGAGCACTTTAGTGTTCAAAGTGACACCACGTAGAAGTAAGGACTCATGACAACAACCTGCTAACGTAAACAGGATATGGAACCACAGAAAACTATGTTCCTACCAACATGAACAGACTGATTTTAAGGAGATCTCAAAGTTGGTCTGTGGTTATTTTTACTCTCTTAAATTTTAGCATATTAAAAAACTTCAAATCAATACTAGCCCACATCTTCTTCACAGATTGGAGTTGTAAAGTTGGCAAATCCTTTACATACTCGCGACTACAGGACAACCATTTCACCCAGAAATCAATGCTGATTGTAGATCTCCCTTTTGCAGAAATATGTAAAGGTTCAGGTCTCTCCATTTTATTTGACTAGTGTGAGTTGGTACCTGTAGCGCGGGTGGTCAGCGGTGTCAGACGGAGATCTTTCAGGGATGGACAGAGAGGTTGTAGAAGACAGAGTGGTGGCAATTGATGCTGTTGTTGCCTCCTCAAACGATGGAGGAGTACATGGAAGATCTGGTCGTCCTAACAGGGTCAGGGTTAGAGAGACAGAGACTTTATTTATTTACGTCACTGACAGTTGAACGGTAGGGCATCAGCGTCAAAGAGAAAGATTGTCTGCTTGGGTGTGTTGCACGTTTACCTTCATCCTCCAGGGTGGGGAAGCTGCGGGCCCCTCTCAGGTCGTAGATGTTCTCGTCTCTCTCACAAGGAAGCTGGCTGGCAGACCAGGCTGCACCAGGACCAGAACATTTAGGCACCGACAGAGAGACTCGACCCTTCTTCGATGGAGAGGACTTCAAAGCTGAAGAACAAAAACACAATTAGAGAGAGAGAAATCACAGGTGTGTGATTAATAATATGCTGTTCAGCAGAAAAAAGAAAAGATTAAACTTTCCCTTTAGAGGAGTCCAATTTTTATATGAAACTAACCCCTTTAATCATTTATTGTGTATTTTTAGGACAACCGCTCTGAAGTCATTTGCCACTTTGTTTGAAGTGGGATGATCAACACAATATTTGACTTTTACACCTTTGGAGAAAAAAACTTAAAAGCAAAAACAAGTCTGCAGAGATCAAAGCAACATTTTCCCTTCTGTAGCATTAAGCAGCACCTAATAAGGCTGTTAGCTCGTGTCTGATTTTCCGATGATGGCTCGACAGTTCAGGAGACAGAAACATGGCTTTTGACTTTCTACGCCTCAGTGAGGTTCTTCCCACGCAGATCTGTGTGACTATGTAAGGCAGTGTCTGGGTGCCGAGTGAACTCACAGGAGCTCTTCTTGAAAACCGTGCTGCTCATGAACTTGTAGAACCGATCAGCATAGAAACCTGGCCGGTGGACGGACACGGTGTCCTGAGGGACAGATTAAAGAGACAAATGGTGCATGAATTAAACGATCAAACAGGTGCTCGTAGGAGATTAACCTGTCTGTTTGTCCCCTTTAGTGTCCCATCTCACTAAATCTTTTCTCTGAGTCAAACCTCACGACTGAGCATCTCGCTCACTCACTCCAACACACACACACACACACACATGCACAGAAAGGGAGTCAGATGAGGAAACAGTTGCACAGCTTCATTATTCATGTGGCAGCAGACAGAGATAAAGCTGCCAACAGACTGATAGATGACAGACACCTGGTGTTTGGTTTAGAGTAACGGAGGACAGAAGGAGGCTGGAGGAGAAGGAAGAAGTGATGGGACAGCATCACAGTTATGTTTTTACTACAGAATCACTATTGCTGCATGTGAGTAACATCTTTGGGATAATGCGTAATAATCAGAGAGTCCACAGTGCTCTCCCACATCCATCTAGTGAATGAGAGTGTTTCAGTCTGGGGGAGAGCAGGGAGTCAGAAATGAGGGCGACTGATGGGTTAGATGTTGCACCGAGAGCAACGTTGGGATTATAAACTACAAATCGCTCTGTGTTTGTGGCCCACACACTTTGGAATGCTCTTCCTCTTTCTGTCAGACAGGCACCATCTCTCATTTGCTACAAGTCACTGCTAAAGACCCACTTCTATGATTTGGTCAGTGATTGTTTAATTTAGCTACAAGTTTCACCATCGTTTGTTTATTTCCTGTATCTTAAGCCAGCTTTATTGTGTAGTACTTCGGTCAGCTCTCATGCTGCGTTTTTAACATGCTTTAGAAACACATTCATTGTGGTATGATGTAAAGCGTGAACATCTGACGAGATGGAGAGATGGATGGTGCTGTGAGTCAGGTTTTGTCAGTCATTAAGCGATGAACTGAAGTAATTTCCCAGTAAAACCAGACCATTCAGCACACCGAGTGTGTGTGGGTGCGTAGGAGCTGCCGATCTTCATGGCTCCAGTCCTGTTTGTTCACAGGAGCTTAAAGCAGCCACCGCTCTGGGCCAATTAAATGTTTGTGTGACGTTAAATGTTCAAGGCCCACAGCTTTTCAGCACATGGAACAAAAGGATGTCATCAGCAGGGAAATTAGAGAGAACTTTCAATCAGAGAAAACTTTTAATGTGGGAAACACAAGCAGACAACAATAGGATCGTTATTAAGGGTCTCATTCTGCCACTTGAACACTTCTGTAGTGGTTAGTAACTACTGGTGACTAGAGACACAAACGTGTACATTTTTATCTGGAAATAGTGAATTTATTTATACAATTTTGCAAGAGGACTGGCTTATAGCTGGGTCATGTTGCACACAAGACATGATTTCTTTTGTTTGTGATTTGGTCACAAACCCCCTCACTCAAATGTCTTTTGAATATGTTCCAAAATCAAGCAGCATGGTCATGTGAGAGGAATATTCACTAATGTTCGAAGACATTCTGGAAATTCCCTCCTGAATGTTGCTCGTCTCATCCCAGTAAGGTACTGGCTTCATGTGGGTGGAGCTGCTGCAGAACTTACACCTGAATCCAAGATGTGGATTCAGTTAGGTTCCTAAACACGCCACCAAATCTGAATAATAACTATGTGAATGCAACGACACATTTCACTGTATTTTATCGGAAAGAGCAGTGCTACGTGTGCCACCAGTCAGTGGTCATAATGGCTAAAACACTCCAAACAAAATAAGGTACCTCTGTCTGTGATTAGAACTTAATTTAGAGTGAAGCTGAGACGTGGCTAAAGGTGAGAGGATTAACTTTTATGGCAAACACTTTTAAAATGTTACCTTTATTAACTCATTCACTGCCATTGATGACTAAAGTCATCATTTTAAATCCAACCGTTCACTGCTGTAAAGAAATAGATTGATCTAACGATCTAGAGTTGTATTTTAATATACTGTAAGTAGATCACTTGTTATAATCAGAAGAATAGGTTGTTTTTATCATCAGGGAGTTCATTTAACACTCTGTATTGACCTCGAGACAAGAAAGAGAGAGTTGGGATCGTTTAAGAATTTTATTATAAATTCTACAATCTATCAGGACTAACTCTGTGTTGTTTGGAAATGAATGTGATGTTCGATGTGTGTGTGTGTGTGTGTGTGTGTGTGGTTGGTTCAGACTCCTTAGGCTGACGTCATTGAATCTGATAGTCTTTGATTGTTATGACTAGATATCACGAGGCTTATAAAGTGATGACATGAGCTGCTATTTTGCCGTGTACGTACCCAGTGGGGGCCTCCCAGGTAGATCAGGAAATGCCAGGTCTGAAGACCTCGGATAAGACTACAGCGATCCTCTTGCTGAATCACGTTTTTGCCCGTTTCGGTTTGCCCACAAGGGTCGACTCGGACAGGGGTACCCATTTCACCTCTGCGGTGATGAAACATCTTTGGGAACTGTTGGGTGTCAAGGCTAAGTTCCACATTAGCCACCGGCCCCAGTCTTCTGGACAAGTCGAAAGGGTGAACCGCACGGTTATCAGCATGTTAAAAAAGTACGTGTCAGCTAACCACCGAGATTGGGATGTGAAACTTCCGTTGGTCCTCATTTATCATCCCTGATGATATAAACAACCTATTCTTCTGATTATAACAAGTGATCTACTTACAGTATATTAAAATACAACTCTAGATCGTTAGATCACTCTATTTCTTTACAATTGGCGAGCCAGCCAGGAGTTCTTATTTTGAAGAAGATTTTGATTAAAGTCGTCATTTGCCTTATTTTACTGTGTGGGCATCGGAACGAGCCCCCGCACCGTGAGAACAAACATCTCAGCTCTAAAGCCGATCTTCATCCACATACGTCACGTGATCAGGAAGCAGAAACTCCATGTGTTAGGAGATCGTTTTGGGCCGCTGCTGTAAAAAAAGTGAGGCGCGAAAAGGAAAAGCTTCTGCCGATCACAATTCAACAACGGATTACGAAAGAACGGATAACGCTCGAAATGCGCGGATTCTTCCTGATGTAAGAGGTGAGTCTCCGCTTTGTTTTGGTTGTTTTGGCGTCTACGTCATCTTAGCGCGCAACATTCTGTGACTCTTAAAAAAACCCAGTAAAAACGGTGAGAAATGCTGGCAGCGAAGAGCTTTACCGATCAGGAAACGGCTGGCAGCGAATGAGTTAAAACATTGTTGTTAGTGAAAACATATGATTAGATTCAAGATAATTAATTGTCATTGCACAGGTGTACAACGAAATTGACTTTGCTATCACTGAAGACAGCTCACGTAAGAGGTAGTAAAATACGAGTAAAATTAAATAACACGGCTCAAATTAACATTTGAGTAATCCACAGCTCCTCCTAAAAGCTGGCTTGTAATAATCGTAATGACTAGGGATGGACAATAAGTCAATAACTATATATATTAATCAATAGACATGTGGTTCAATAGAAAAAAAATTGATCAATTAAAAACTTAAATGTTTCATTTTTCCATTACAGTGATCCCTCGCTACTTCGCAGATTCACGACTTCGCAGATGTTTTCTTTGGAGCCTTATTCAAGGGAAATTCGCCGATTTGCGGTATTTTTCTATGCGAAATATCAAGAAATTCCTGTTTTTTTTTTTCATCAATTTCATCATAAAATGATGGGGCAGCAGTAGCTCAGGTGGTAGAGCGGGTTGCCTCATGATCGGAGGGTTATGGGTTCGATTCCAGCTCCCGCCAGGGGTATCCTGCTGTTGTGTCCTTGGGCAAGACACTTCACCCAACTTGCCTGTGTTAGTGGTGGTCAGAGGGGCCGACGGCGCCAAATGGCAGCCTCGCCTCTGTCAGACCTCCCCAGGGCGGCTGTGGCTACAAGTAGCTTACCATCACTAGCAGTGTGTGAAAAGCATCTTTGGGTGTCTAGAAAAGCGCCATATAAGTTCAATGCATTATTATAAAATGCACTTTTTGTAATAAAACAATAAAAAAACCAAGTAAAATTTTTTTTCTATATGTAAAGGGAGGGTTTTAAAAGTCTGAATACTGAATACGTACCTGTTAAATAAATACTGTAAATATGGTGTCCCTACTTCGCAGATTTTCACCTATCGCGGCCAGGTCTGGAACGCATCTACCGCGATAAACGAGGGATCACTGTATAGCCTATTGGGTAGCTTCATACTAGTGTCATTACTTACACCCAACCAATCAATAACAGGCCCAGTCACGCTCTGTTACCAAGCCTCCCCTCTCAAACCTAAACAGACAACAATGTGACTTAAACAAGATGTTGCAGCATGGAGAGGTGGAAGAAACTGTCCCAAATAGAAGTGACAGTACTTCACCAGTGTGGCAATATTTTCATTCTTAAAAGTCTGACAAAAAACAAACAATGATGGTTTGTAATGGATAATCGATAAAAAAACAAGTCTGGTAATGCAACCAACTTGTTTTATCATAAAGTAATGGCCTAAGATAGCCAGGGTTGCACTTAAAATATATTTGACATTTTTCATATAGTGTTCAATAATTATTGATATCGATCAATATTATTTTTTATCGATAAGGTTTCTTTTCTATATCGTTAAGCCCCATTAATGACACACAACTGGATTTTTACGTTTCAAAAGGCTTTAAATGAAAGGAAAAAAGGGCTGCAGCTACTTAATGTATTCATATGGTTAACAATAACCAAATAAATAATTAAAACCCTAAATGAAATATTGTACTGATCACTGATCAAAGATCAGAAATCATCCTTGCAGCTATGGATCATAACGTCTCTGCACCTGAAGGGTGTGAAGAAACCTTTACTCACCCCGTCGTGAACCAAAGCCTTCCACGTGTGCTCTAGTTTCTTGATTAACCTGCAGAAACAAAGTTGAACTCATATTAAACAAGCTTCATGTAAGGCATGCAGAAGCAGACACTGAACAAGCATCACACTGTAAACCAGGTGTCCAAAAGGATGATGTCTGAGTAGGAAAACATCGTCACCCTCCTCCCTCCGTCACTGTTACACTGTCTCATGGATGAATGACACCCTGTAGATTTTTTGGTGATTACCGGTAAGACTGTAAGATATCAATGATTCCGATGTAGAGGAGAAGTCGTTCTCCTCTTCCGTTAAGAGCTGGAATGCCACCCATCCTGGAAGAAGGAAAGCCAGAATAAAATTTGTCACTCCATGTCCAAGTAGTCTATTTTATTATGTATTATTTATTAAGTCCTGAAGCACAGACACAGACTCTCTGGTCTCACGAAGCAGCAAGAACAAATGTTTGTCATGTAAACCATTTCCATTTTAATAAATCACTCTCCTCTCATGATCTAATCCACAGCCAGCAGCTCCTTGCCTTGTGAGAGTAACTCACGTGTCGTCAGTGTCGATCGATCCTCCGCAGGCGGCGCCCCCCTGGATGGACTCCATGGCGGTGGAGTACAGGGCCTTCTGCTGGGCGACGGGCCTCTTCTCATCACTGTCACTCTGCGAGCCCTCCATCTGCCTCTCCCTCTCTGCCTGGTCAATGTTGTGCACCCCGAGCAGCAGGCTGTAGTCCATAATCTTAAAGCTTTCCAGCACCTGAGCAGACACATCTAAGCATTTAGCGGTTGGCGGACAGGACACCTAAACGCTATGACCTGTTGGAACTGAATCCTCCACAGCCATCCTGCTCACCAGGCAGTCCCTCTGTAGGGTCTTCACCATCGCATTGTAGGTGTCCTGGTCCAGCATCAGTCCATCCTGCAGGTCCTGCATGAAGTCCAGATCTTTGAAAGTAGGCCTGGCTTTCTCCCTCTCCTTCTTGGATGCTCGCCTCTTGTAGGTGGAACCCTTCAGGTCATATTTGAGGTGCATACGAACCACACGCGGAAGGACATTGTTCATCACAACCACCCGGATGTTCTTCCCACCCGACTGGACACAGTAGAGGCCGAAAAACTTTGGTAGCAACGTGCGAGGGTTCTGATTCAGGTTCTGGAGTGAATGGGACGGGAGAGGGGAAACATAAAGTCATTATTTAGCCCATAAAGTGGGTTGAGTTAGATTAAACTAACTGCATCACAGTTCACCATCGAAGGCTTGCTTGTTCTTTTAGAAACCCTTTGTTCAGATCCCACACTCAACAGCTAATAATTCAAATCAAGACATTTTATTGGTTCCTGTTTGAAATTTAAATGTTGTAACTCATATTGTTCAAAAGCAATAATAAAAAAATAAAATAATAGTAATAGTAATAAAAATTATTTCATATTCGTCAAAGTTAATCAAAGAGATGTAGATGGCTGTGGGTAGTAAGTAAGTCTATTATGGTCATAATTATTGTATGATAGTACGTGTTATATGGTAGTAAGTGTTATATAGTAGTATGTCCTATTTGGTAGTAATACTTATATAGTAGCAATTCTTATATGTTAGTAAAAGTTATAGAGTAATACATGTTTTATTGTAGTAAGTGTTATATAGTAGTAATTATTATATGTTAGTAAAAGTTATAGAGTAATACATGTTTTATTGTAGTAAGTGTTATATAGTAGTAATTATTATATGTTAGTAAAAGTTATATAGTAATACATGTTTTACAGTAGTAAGTGTCATATAGTAGTATGTCCTATTTGGTAGTAATACTTATATAGTAGCAATTCTTATATGTTAGTAAAAGTTATAGAGTAATACATGTTTTATAGTAGTAAGTGTTATATAGTAGCAATTCTTATATGTTAGTAAAAGTTATATAGTAATACATGTTTTATAGTAGTAAGTGTTATATAGTAGCAATTCTTATATGTTAGTAAAAGTTATAGAGTAATACATGTTTTATAGTAGTAAGTGTTATATAGTAGCAATTCTTATATGTTAGTAAAAGTTATAGAGTAATACATGTTTTATAGTAGTAAGTGTTATATAGTAGCAATTCTTATATGTTAGTAAAAGTTATAGAGTAATACATGTTTTATAGTAGTAAGTGTCATATAGTAGTATGTCCTATTTGGTAGTAATACTTATATAGTAGCAATTCTTATATGTTAGTAAAAGTTATATAGTAGTACATGTTTTATAGTAGTAAGTGTCATATAGTACTATGTCCTATTTGGTAGTAATACTTATATAGTAGCAATTCTTATATGTTAGTAAAAGTTATATAGTAGTACATGTTTTATAGTAGTAAGTGTTATATAGTAGTAATTCTTATATGTTAAAAAAATATACCAGTGCACCATTTCTCAGACCTAAAAGTTACCCACATCACAGCTGAGCTTCTTTCTTATTTCCTGATATCTGGACATCGTGGATAACGGCACTGTGGCTCTACAACATGGATGCTGTATCTCCAAAAGTAACAAAAGCCTGGAAGACCTCCAGCTGTGTGGTGGGTTTGCTAATGCTAACTGTAAGCCTAAACTAGTCAAGATGTCCGCTGCGGATTCCTGAACATCAACACAACAACAGCCTTCTCCGTTGTGAGTCAAGATGGGCGAGTCCATGAATGTTAATTCACAGTGTGACATAGATCTGTGAGGATTTTAACATCCTAGATTTTCACTAATTCGGCAGGTTTAGGAGGCAATTTTCATGTTCAGCCTGCACAAAAACTTCAGTGACCGATTATAAACAGAAATATTTACAAAATGGGTTTTCAGTCAACTACATCTTTAAATAACAGTAACGTTTAACTTGTTTTTGTTTAATTCTTTTTTCCAAATAAATGTTAATTCAATACTGACAATTTAAAAATAGTAGAAAATCCTTTAGGATGGACACAAAAGTTTGTGTTTCAAATTGAGCTTTAAATGAAAACTTTGAAGAGATTTTGTTCTCTTTTTACATGATTTGGCCTCTTTTCTCCACAGAGCTTCCCTCTCTTATCTTCAATCTGTGCTGAATATTTCAGAAGTCAATCCACTTGAATGAGGTTAGTCGAACGGGGTGCTCAGCGAAAGCCCTGCTCCGACGTTGGGAGCTGGGCCAGCTCTGTCCCATTAGAGAAACCGGAGCAGAGAGAGAGAGCAAGCCAGAGAATCCTGGTTCATAAAGTGGTGATGCACAACTTTCAGAAGAAGAGAGGAAAGATGGAGGATGAATACAGAAGTGTGGCTAAGGAGGTCCAGCACACGCTGAGTGACCTTCACTGGTTGACACAGCAGGATGACGATAAAGAGAGGATGCACAGGGAGGAAGAGCGTCTCCTGCCCTCAGCTAGACGCGACCCTTCTGTTAGGAAACAGCATCAGCGACACGTGCAGAGGAGGAGAGGGAGAAAACTCAGCCAGAAAGAACATTTCGATAAAACGTGCAGAGAAAATGGAAGGTGAGGAAAAATGCTGTGTTACAGCAGGATGAGTGGAGCGACTTCTAAGGAGGGAGGATGGAGGGGGGGAGGTAAACGGAGGGCAATTACACTGAAGGGAGAGAAGCGACAGCAGGGATGTGGTTACATCACTGCGATCTGCATCCTGCCCCGAGCCAGTCTCCTCAACCAGTCAGCTGTGCAGAGACATGGAGCCCCACCAGCGAATGCCCACGTGCCGCCATGTTTTCACCACACGCAGATGAGCTCGTCACACTCAGACATGTTTATTTGGTTGTTTTTGTGAATCTGTAAACAGCAGCTTTGCCTCAGGGCTCTCCATGTCTGCACTTTCATTAAACCACTTGTTTACACCAGTTTGACCTGCAAAAGTGCTTTAGAGCGACATCACGAAGAGGTCTCAGTAAATGTGGTCTTTGTGAGGCGCTTGTTCGGGTCTATGGGTCATGTTTAAATGGCTCATTTCCTGAACAGCATGTGAAATCACAAAACTTCACCCTGCTGGAGCATCCTTTCCCTGTGTATTTGGAGTCTGTTTAATAAATTACATGCAACCCTCTCCAAAGATTGGTCCCATCTCACGTACTTCACCCAATCACATTGTGGATCCACTAGATTCCTGATGCAGCAGCTGAGAAGCACGACATCCCTCACAGACAGGTTTAAACAATTCTCATAGTGGTGTCACTTCGCCTACAGCTGTCGACACATGAATAAACATAAGGACAAAAGGCTGTGAAACGGTGAGGAGCAGTGTGGACGTACATGGAGCTTTTGCTGCCTGCCTCTTGGTTCAGAACGAGCCTACGGACTGCAGAGAGTGTGGGCTCCGCTATGGTGAAAGTCACACTCTGTTGGGCTTAAGTACAGCACATCCGGCCTCTAAACAAACACCAGCCAGTCTCTTATGAAACCACGAGCCCGGGGGTTTCAGTCAGAGATGAGCAGAGCTGTTTATGTCTGCTTTGCATGAAAACGATGTCCCGCTGAGTGGAGGGATTCCCGGGATCTTGTGTAAACTGGAGCATTGGGAGAGATCACCATTTAAATAAAATTGTGAACTTCGTATGTGACTTTCACACTGATAAGACTGTGCTTTAATTAACCAAGCAGCGTAATAATCAGTAATTTAGCACAGATTAGCAGCACCAGAATTAACAAAGCTCCTCAGATGAGAAGCGAAATGTCTTCAAGAAACCAAAGAAGTCCAGTTGCCTTCATTTGAACCCTTTTGGATTACCATGACGTGGACGACTGAGAACCTTCACCAGCATTAGCAGCAGTTTTTCACTGTTTAACACCCTGAATGTGTCAAAAAAATCTAAAACAGAGACACTAAATGTGGCAGGAGTTCATCCTTCCCAGGATTTAACCACCACTGACATGTTCAACATTTCTTCAGATTGTTCACATTTGATTTGCTGTCAAAGAGCAATTCCCACCCACAAGTGTGAGCTTCAGACGTGTTTATCTGCTTACCATGTAGTATCCGGGCAGAAGTTTCTGTAAGAACTCAGCCTCCTTGTGCATCACAGTCTTGATGATGAACTCATCATCTTTTGTAAGGTAGAAGACGGAACCGCTCGCTCCAGGGTTGGACAGCTCGATCAGAGGCTCGTTACAGAGGGAGTACTGCAGAATCAAATATAAATGTGAACAAAACAGAAAGACTACCGGTCTGTTTAATTAAGCACGAGCACACACTGACAGGCCAGTTTTCTGTAATCAAGGGATCTAAGAATTTATTAAAGATTATTTTATTTATTCTTTTTGTAACCAGGAAGGTCCCATTGAGAATAAAACCTCATTTTCAAGGGAGTCCTGGCCAAGAGGCAGCAAGTTACAACAATTATAATTTGTTGATTAAAATCAAATAAAAAAATATGAGTAGCACATTTCCATATTAGGATTTATCTGTTTTCTGACTCCCAGTAGAGGCCTCTGGAGTACTTGAATTACTTCCATGAGCTCTGTGTCAAAGCCACGGCTGTAAAAGGTGTTGGGTGGTTTAAATCAGGACTCAGATATTTATGTACCCCTCTTCCACCCTGAACTGTATTCCCCTGCATATCCCCACCTTAAAACACACGTTTCAGTTTAATACTGTTTTTTGTTTGTAGCCCAAATAAATATATAAAACCTTTGAAAACTCCTCATTCCAAGTTGTCATGCTATATAATGTATTCAATTGAAAATATTCTATAAATAAGGGAATTTGGGACCAAGCACTCTTGTGTTTATATCGCAACACAACAGAAAAAATACAGTAAACAGCAGATGAGCGTTTTTTTCCCCCAGCCTCATCAGTAAAGACTAGAAAGACAATAATGTGTGTCTGCAGCAGTGTGTTTGACACATCTTCATGTCTGCCTGTTCAGTTATCTTTAAACAAGTTCGTTTTCTCAAACAATCCAAACACAACTAGATCATTTCAGTTCATCTAAATTAGATCTCGACCTGCATGTTTAAAGTTGCAGCCATATAGCTGTAATTAATTAATTGTCAAATTATCTTCAATCCAAATTATTGGCCACGGTTTCTAGTCCTGATTTACTTCGTCACATATGGATTAAGCGATGATCCAATAAAATACCAGTGAAGGAAGCAAGATTTTACACACAACTATAAATCAAGACACATAAGTAGCACTTTGAGTGACATAAATAACAAAAACAAAACAACGCTTTAGCAGGAGATGTGCGGCTTGCCGGTCTCTCTGAGACCTCTGTGTTCCACCCGGTTCTACCCAGCGGTCAGCCCGGCGTATCTCTGACTCAGAAGCTCTGGTGTTGTGCACAGTAAACTCTGGTTGTAGCTAGGTTGCTACCTCCGTTAGCTTAGCTCCCACCTCCGCATTAGCTTTGGGTTAGCTTGTAGCTAGTTCGACCGGGTGTCGTCAGTTGATCCCAGCCTTACAGCCCCACCCTCAGCTCCACCTCTCTTCCCTTTTATGGAATTGTCTGGGCTTGACGGAACCTGTGACACGGTCAAAATGGCGGTGATGGCCACCTCCCATTTTAGCAGAAAAACTTGTTATTGGAACCTATGGAAACCCATTGTCCATATATTAATGTCGATGGATAAAACAGAAAAAGACTAAATGGAACAGATGGACTTAATGTTTCATTTGTGTCTCAGTAAATTGAGTCGTATCCACACCTTTCTGCAACGAGTTAAAAATATCAATAATGATGCTGTAACGAAATGATGACACGTCTGCAGACGACTTATGTGCACATACGGTGATGAGCGCTCACAGGCTGGCTGACAACAACTGAGGAAAAGAAGCAGGCGTGATGTGGTACCACCACGTGCATGGAGTACTGATGCGTTAAAAATATGTGGGCATGGAGAATGAACAAACCCTGACTAAGCAGGGGATGTATGCATGCAGCTAGACGGCTTGGGACTGCACGGTGAATCACTCAACCTCCAGATTTTACACGCTGATGGGAAAATACTGGATCCTCATCTTTCTGCAGGCATTTTTCTCCTCTGCCTCATGGATCTTTTACGAGGTTTTCTCTTGTTTTCCTTTTCCCCATTAAGCTCTCCCCCTTTCACACTCAATTGTATTAGTGTTAATCACAAAATAACCAAAATCTTACCAGGTAGTCGTCCGGCCTGATGCCGAACAGTTCTCTGAAGTAGCGGAAGGCCACAGGAGCGTATGTTTTAAAGCGGAAGTCTGGGAAATGATGGGCTGGAGTGAGGTTGCTCCCCTCACTGGATTTAAGAAAAAAATATCAAATTAGAGAAAATGTATCAATAAAAACAAAATGTTTGCACAACTCACTGACTCATGTTATGGAAATCAGGTAAATAAAACTAAATGTTTATTAAAAGTTTAAAGTGTTAAAAGTCTAAATGTTAACTCTGTCTTTGCACCAGATTTAAATCAATTAGTCATTATTAAAGGGCTTCTGTAAAACTGAACATGATGAGGAGATGAAATCATTTAGCTCAGGTTTGTTGGATCAGGAAACATGCTAGACAGGTAGGATGGTGGAGCTTAAGGTGGCCTGTGTTCCATAGGAACAACTGATCGTGCTCCCAGAAATAAATCAGATGTAGAAATGTCCGGCTGACCTGGGGAAAAATATGCTTTCCACCACATAGAAGTCCTGCATCAGTACATCCCTCTCAGGCTTGGAGCTCAGGTTGCCCACTGTGTAGCCAATTCCCAGCTGGATGGCACCTTTCAAGGCTGATGATGTGGTCTTCAGGGGGGAGAGCAGGAGTAGGTGGAAGAGCAGCATTAGGGATTGAAAGAGCAACTGAAAGGGCATGATACAACAGTAACCCATAAATCTTTTAGCACCTTTTTGTAAGTAGTTTCTCCTGATGCGTCCACTCCTCTGTGTCCGATCTTCTTCCCCTGACCAATCTGGCTTGAAGACGAGGGCAACTGATAACAGGGAGAGACACTTTGATTTTAAGGAGATGTTAGCTGAAGCTCATAAAATTAAATGAAAAATACAAATGAAAGAGATTTGGGTGCTGTGCCACCGGGGTGATGGTGGCACAGGAGCGAAAAGCTTGCCCCGTAATAGGAAGGTTGCAGGTTCGAGCCCCGCTCAATTTGTCGCTGCCGTTGTGTCCTTGGGCAAGACACTTAACCCACCTTGCCTGCTGTTGGTGGTCGGAGGGACCGGTGGCGCCAGTGCTCGGCAGCCTCGCCTCTGTCAGTGCGCCCCAGGGCAGCTGTGGCTACATCGTAGCTCATCTCCACCAGCGTGTGAATGTGTGTGTGAATGGGTGAATGACTGATTGTGTTGTAAAGCGCCTGGGGGGGTTCCAGGACTCTAGAAGGCGCTATATCAAATACAGGCCATTTACCATTTTACACACTTTATGTATATCTTGCCAAAAATGGCAAGTATCTTTCAATACAAACAACTTACCCACTCAAAAGTATCACTATCTGTTAAAGGATATTTATAATATGACATTTTTAAAGTTATAATAGTTCTATGGTCGATACAAAACCTGTTTGTGAAGTTCTTTGCACAAAATCGCTTTCACAAAAAGCTATTTCAGCAGTTTAATCCAGTTTCAGTACCTTCAGAATGAGTTGTTTTAGAGCTGTCACTTTAAGAAAACAAGCTGGATCTGGCCACATCCACTCCTCCACTGCTCAGGCTGCTATAAGCTGAGAAGCCCTGATATCTGGGAGGGGCTCAGAGTAGAGCTGCTGCTCCGCCAGCGCCAGCAGCTTTCTTTTGCACTTAAGAGGCGATTCTATTCTATTATTTTTCTGTTTCACAAACGGGGATTTTTGAAAACATCTTGTTTTAAGCACATTAACACTGAAATAAAACAATTGGTCAGTTTTTTTTTTAAATCTTTGGATGGTTTTAAATATGGCCTGTATTTGATATAGCACCTTCTAGAGCAGGGGTGTCAAACTCATTTCAGCTCAGGGGCCACACTGATGGAAATCTAGTCCCAAGTGGGCCGGACCGGTAAATTAAATAGAAAACTTCAGATTGTTTTCTTTGTTTTAATACAATCAATATAAAACAAGGCTGGAGCCTGAGGACAGTGTAGTACAAGTACAACACCTGAAGTGTACTTGAAAATTAGAAAAACATAAAAAAAATCAACAAATAAAAAAAACATTCCTTTGTGATTCAAAGAGCTTACATATCACAAGGCTAGATCGGTTTCATGCAACGCTTAAAGTATATTTGACTCATATTACTTAACATCTTTTAGCTTTCATTAGCCCATCAATATCAGAAGTCACATCCTGAGTCGCAGCCAACTTCAGGATGTGATTCAAGTTCTTGTGTGAGCCTTGAGTGAAGCTTTGCTTTATTTATACTCATTACAGAGGAAACTTGCTCACAAAGATAAGTTTATGTTCACTCTACATTGTAAAGTATGAAAATAAAGTTTACACAACCATCTCGCGGGCCGGATTTAACCCACTTGCGGGCCGCATCCGGCCCGCGGGCCACATAATTGACACCCCTGTTCTAGAGTCATGGAACCCCCCAAGGCGCTTTACAACACAATCAGTCATTCACCCGTTCACACACACATTCACACCCTGGTGAGGATGAGCTACGATGTAGCCACAGCTGCCCTGGGGCGCACTGACAGAGGCGAGGCTGGCGAGCACTGGCGCCACCGGTCCCTCCGACCACCACCAGCAGGCAACGTGGGTTAAGTGTCTTGCCCAAGGACACAACGACAGCGACAGACTGAGCGGGGCTCAAACCTGCAACCTTCCAATTATGGGGCGAGCACTCAACTCCTGTGCCACCGTCGCCCCAGTAGAGACTCACATAGCAGCACAAAAGGATGCCAAAGGTGAGTTTTGCAGGTGTCCCTGTCAAGTAAATGCTATTTTGAACCTTTACAATGCATTAACTTCATTAGATTAGCTTTATAATCATTGTGCACTGCAAAAACCTATTCTTGTTCTTCTGTTGGCTCACGCATTATTAATGTGGTTGTCCATCACAAATCCTTTCTGTTTGACTTTACTGAGAGTGCCTTGACTGCTGTTTACTGCAGAAAACACCCTGGTGTCTCAGAAATACAAAGCACTCGCCTTAAAAACATATTTTTATGTTTCATGGAGTGAAAATGGAACAACAAATTTCCATCTTTGATGTTTTTTGAAGCACCTAAACTGCTCAAAGCAAGAAGACTGCTCAGCTTCTTTTATCAGACTTAATAGCACGAGCTAAACTGGATGTATTAGATCTCATCTGGTCTGAATATGTCTGGGGTTGTTTTAGTGAACTCTGTTGAGCGTTTAGTTTGAGGTGGCATTAAAACAGAATTAGAATTTCCGCCAGCTACAGTTAAACCAACTGTGAAGTCCTGTAGGAGGGGTTTTATGTATTTTACAATATCTGGAGAGACGGATGAATTGGAGAGACAGATTTTGTGAGCTCTGCAGAAAAGCAGAGATACACAAATCTAATGCTTGGAAAAGAAATGAAATCCTCAAAGATTTAAAAGCCCAAACTACAACAACAACAAACAAATAAACAGAAATGCGAGCTAGAAGAGAGGCATAAGGGGACAAATAATCACTATGACAGATTTCTGCTCACCTCTGAGATAAAGGCTTTCTTAGCAGGTGCATCTGAAAGAGAGAAATGTGACAGATGAAGACGGCTGTGTTAGCTGCTCTGTGACAAGATGCTCCGTCACTCTGCCTCGTCGGTGCTCTGAGGGACAAAGATGAATACTAAAAGGTGGACAGAGCAGGCTGACATTATGTAATAACAGTGTCAAACACAGGCAGAGGCCTGTCAGAGCAACTACGGGAAACAGAGACATCAGCGGCAAGGGCACCAAGTTCTCCTTTAAGCTCCATTGTGGGTGAGTTCTTGTTTTTGCCATCCTGACAATATATCACAGGTCTTACTGATGTACGTCTGTCTGCAGGGATGGTTGAGCCTGTTTTGTGCAGCATTAATATTCGAGTAGTTTTGGACATCTATAGTCATCACACAATGAATTCTTATGATTTGAACAAGACATGATGCATCTATTTTGACTGTTACAAGCTGCCACCTGTTTACTCAGGTTAATCCCAACAAGACAACTCATTTTCCATAAATGCGTAAAATAATGTTTGTTGCAGCCATGCTCTGTTACATCTGCTCTGTTATGATCACTTCTAGTTTAATAACAAGATGTTAGACACCAGGGAGAGGCAATCACAGGACTGTTTTCACCACCAAAGCCTGAAATAGACACATAATTATGGACACATAATGGAGGGAAGGGTGAGGAAGGCAGGAAAGGGAGAGCAAAAAATGAGCAAATGGAAGAGTGGAAAGGAACAGGGAGAAGAGATGGAGAGGGTTTCAGACAGTGATGGCTTTAATCAGTTTCTGCTTTTTTCATTATAACCTCTATTACACTTAGCTGCACACATGGAGCTGTAGCAACGTGGTCTGACTACTAAGTACAGCCCTGGTGTGATGGGATGAGTGACGTTTTAGAGACAGCAGGTAACCAGATAAACATTTTTAAAACTTCTTTTATCAGTAAACACACAACAGGTCCTGAGTTGCCGCTGACACATAAAGTGCTTTTCCTCTGACAAGGTGTCAGAGCTGCTGGTCTTCAATCAACTCAGTGCAGTTGTGCCAAAAATACAAATAAGAGTCTAGTCTAAAAGATTAGTAGAAACACTTGCCTGAAACATTAGCTGAAGTAGCAGCAGAAAAGGCTTTCCAAATGCAATCCTAAATTCTAGCACCTAGTGCAATGGTACTCAGTAGGCGCCTGCGGGCCGGACCCTTCTTTGTGGCCCCTGATCCGCCAGCACCCAAAGTGAACTGAACCAAAGTGAGCAGAAACCACACTGGGATGAGGTTATATTTGTCCTTTTACAATAAAATCAAACTTAACTTTAAAGCAACAATAGATATTTTACTAACTTGAAGCTAGAGCTTTAACATTGATCTCAGTAATGGCCGAGGTAGAAACTAGACCAGTTTCATATTTGACACCACTCTGCAGTCCTCTGCTGATCAAAAAATACACTAGACCAGTGGTCGTCAATAGACGGCCAGCGGGCCCCCTTTTTGTGGCCTCCGAACCCCGCTCGCACCCTCCACCCCGGGCGAACGGGAGGTGTGCTGTCACATAGAGGGCTGGTGTAATGAACAGCAGCGACGTGAGAGTAGCTAAGCGCACCGCACCGCACCGACATCCCTTCTTGCTGGGCGAAGCGAGAAGAGGTGTTTATCTTCAACAACGCATGCGTTGGGACGCTTGCTACTTATAGTAGCAGGTGACGCATGCATCACGGTCACTGGCCAATCAGGATTGGCGTATTGAGATAAGTGCTTCTGAGGAATCCGCGGAGGGGCGTATCCCATAGTGAGACACCGAAACGAATGTTAAGAAAGAGAACTACATGGACATAATTTGGTTTTCAGCCTTCTTATGGTCAGAATGTAATGCTGTCCACGTTAGATCTCGGGGTCTTGTTCACGAGTGAGGGAAAGCTGGAGCGTGAGATCGATAGGGGGATTGGTGCTGCGTCTGCAGTGATGCGACCATTGTACAGATCTGTCGTGGTGAAGAGAGAACTGAGTCGGAAGGCAAAGCTCTGGATTTACCGGTCGATCTACGTTCCTACCCTCACCTACGGTCAAAAGCTTTGTGAGGTGACTGAAAGACTGAGATCACAGAAACAAGTGGCTGAAATGAGTTTTCTCTGCGGGGTGTCTGGGTTCTGCCTTAGAGATAGGGTGAGAAGCTCGGCCATCCGGGAGGGGCTCGGAGTAGATCCGCTGCTCCTCCACATCGAGAGGAGCCAGTTGAAGTGGCTCGGGCATCTAGTTAGGATGCCTCCTGGACGCCTCCCTGGTGAGGTTTTCGACATAAAGGAAGACCCTGGAGAGACTAGGTCTCATGGCTGGCCAGGGAACGCCTTAGGATTTCCCGGAGGAGCTGGCCCAAGTGGCTGGGGAGAGGGAAGTCTGGGCCTCCCAGCTTAGGCTGCTGCCGCCGCAACCCGACCCCAGATAAACAGCTGAAAATGGATGGATGGATGTCTTCTTCAAAGGGAGAACTGTACAGACTGTTACGACAAAAAGGGAAATAACAAAAAAATTTGATTTATTGAGAAATCTAATAATCTGATTACTTTTAGCAAAACTCTACTCTGCAGAACATCAGGCTCAAAAAGCATGGCAGACATGTTTCTCTGTTTTAGTATATTTTGAGATTTCTTTACAGACACAATGAATAAACTGGATTTTTTTTTTACCAGCTAAGTGATGTTATCTAGTATCATAAGTGGAATAACACCCTCACAGTTGGACTCTATTTTACAGCTGAAATGATTTTGAGCCTCTCTAGTCTGAGCGCCCGTCTCCCAGCCTCTCATGGACGCTCATGTGACTAAGCAACGGTTCTCTACCCCTCACTCACTCTGCTACACATATTTGCTCAGATGGGTTGGGCTAACCAAAGCATGCCAGTGAAGTTCCCTACAAGTTAAGACATCAGGGGAATAAGATTTAAAAGAGAGGGAAATAAGTAAAACATGCAGATGAAAGAATGCTTGCTAATTAAAGAAGAGGTTCTCCTTCCTTTTACCCTGCTGTTTGCTTCGGTCTGTATCTATATGCATGTGAACAGCTGAGTTCAGTTAGTCCTTTTTAGTACTCTTCCACTACTACATCTCCACATGTCTGTGCATGTTAAAAACACGCTCCAGCTCCTCCTGAGGGATCCCATCGAGTTGAGTCTGCTCGGTGGTCACCTCGGTGGAAAATCTACAGGCCACAACCACCTCAGCTGACTCCTTTAGAAACCTCACGTTATCTTTAAGATCTCCAACCAAAGGAAGAGGCTCACTTCAGATGCTTGTATCTGACTATTGTTTCAGTCACAATCCAGATCTCACATGGTGATGACTGGAATGTAGACGGGGCAGTAAATTAAGAGTTTTGCCTTTCAGCTCAGCTTCATCTGCTGACTCATTCAGTCTGGTTCATATTCAGCTGAAGGTCACGGCCTGACGTTGCCAACAGAACCAAGTCTGCAAAAAACAGTGATGAGACTTTAGGGTTCCTAAACCAGACACCCTCCTCTACACAAGACTCGGTCCATGAACACTAAAAACTGGATCATAGACAGGCAACTGCCCTGGAAGAGTTCGACCAGCACTGAGAACCAGCTCAACGAAAATGAGGATACAACACAAGGACCCCTAAAATATTCCATCTAAATTTAAGTTTACATTTAACAATTTGCCCAACTTTCAGCCGACTGAGGAGAAATCTGATTCAATGCAACCTTCCTTCCACCATGATTGTGACTGTAAAATCCTTATTTAAAAGCGTGGATTACTCATTTAATCAATACATTTGCAGTGGTCTTTAGTAAGAATGAATGGCATACAGATCATACTCAGGGCACAAAAAAATCCCACAAACCCCTGACTCAGTAGGACCAGTCCGTGACATCAGAGCTGTGCTTCAAATGGGAGGATTTGGAGTCTTATTTCCTGAAATTTAGACATCTTGCCTAGGAGAGAATAAAAAAAATGCAACTTTACCATTGACTTGGTTTGCTCTGGGAAATAGATGCTTTAACTCCACAAATAAGCCTGGAGGAGCTGTGTGAGCGAGTTGCTAATACTAGCAGTTAGCTTCTGTTGGCTGAGATGTTCTCTGCTAGTTCTGGATGCTAAAACAACAACAGCCTTCCCCGTTGGGGGTCAATATGGGTAAGACCAATTCAAAGTGTGATGTAGAGCAGTCAAGATTTTCGAATCCTAGTGTTTCAACGTCTATTTTCTTTCAGAAGCTAATGCAGAAGACAAAATATGAAATTAAATACATTAAATAATGTTTTTTTTCAGCCAACCTGACCTTAAATGCACATTTAAAGAAACAAAAAATCTTCTGAAAAAGGCCAAAATTCCATTAAAATGACTAACTGACATGTACAGTATGTCACGCTGAGAAGTCCAATTATGATCATAAATAACTTACTGCAATCATCAAAACCATGGATGAAGCTCCAAATGGAACTATTGTACTAGTAAAATAAAATTCCTCAAGAAGCACTAAGAAAATCCAGGTAAATTATATTAAGTCAAGAAAAGAAAGAATTACATTTATAAGATAGAAATGTATTTATTATTTTTATTTTTTTTTTACCACCCATCCATTTATGTATAACAGGTTTGCCTGTGATTAGGAGGCAGTAAATTGGAGCTATGAGAGAGAAAATGGGTCCTACTTTCACAATATGTGGCTGCAAGCTCTAAAGTTGTTCAGGTAATGGAACAACAAATAGGCCCTTCAAAATAAATAGCTGCTTGTTGAGTCTGTTGCCTTGCTGACCGGCTGTGTGTTGTTTCTGACCATTTGGGAATTGGTCCATTACAGTCTGGTAAGGCAATTGACAAGAAAACTGGACAAAAAAACATATTTGTATTACTTTCATGCATGAACTCAGTGATTCATGAATGCCAGCGTGTGTTTAACCTGTATTCACTCAACTTACATAATATAGATGTCACAGCATGTAAAATCACACTAAACCACTCATAATATACACAACTGACCTTGTTGATTTAGGCCTAGTCCACACCACGTAGCCGTT